TCCACATTATTGGTTAAAGTAAACTAGTACAACTATTATGGAAAATATGGAGATTTCTCAGAAATCTGAAAATGGGTCTAACATATGACATAACCATTCCACTTCTGCGATTTAGCCAAAGGAAATTAAAAGAATAGTTGAAATGATCCGAACCACAGTGTTTATAAAGGCACAACACAAATAACTAAGATATCAAATCACTCACATATTCAATAACTTATAAATGGATCAAGAAATTGTGCTGGGGATAAGGGGATATGGAACTGTATCATAAAATGATAGCAATAATAATGAAATGTTAAAAAAATAAATTGTGCTGTATAATACATGGCAAAATACTAGTCAATCTTAAAAAAGAGAAAGAAATCCTTTGTTTTCTGCAACAAAATGGATGCAACTGGAAACCATTATGCTTAGTGAAATAAACCAGTCCCCAAAAGACAAATATCTTATGTTCTCCCTAATTGGTGGAAAATAATATACAGAGTACAGCAAAGAAAAGTAAACGAGCAAACTGAATACATTGAGAATTTATTACTGATTAGTTATTGGTTATATTCTTGAGCAATGCTTGTTTCCTACTCATTGCCTTTAGAAATGTTTATATAGTGGAGGGTTAAGCTTGTGATTATAAAGTAAATTGAAAAAAATGTTATTACCAAAGTAAAAGAAAAATGAAAACAGAAGGAGGAATAATTGGAAGGAGAGATGAATATAAATACCTCTATGCTCTTAAAGCATATACATGAAATGCATGACATTTCTTCATTTTACATACATTCATGCTTAAAAAGAGAAAAGGGGAACTAAGCATGTGTTGTCAATAAGATAGTCCTGTAAATCAACTCCATAATTTTCAGTCACTCACTTTCCGTTTCTCCACACTTTATAGCCCTGTATTTAAATTAAGTAAATATTTTTTAAACTAAAAACACACACAAATATATAATTATATATCTTTTTTTTTTAAAGATTTATTTTTATTATTTTTTCATTGGAAAGGCGGATATACAGAGAGGAGAGACAGAGAGGAAGATCTTCCGTCCAATGATTCACTCCCCAAGTGAGCGCAACGGGCCGATACTATGCCGATCCGAAGCTAGGAGCCTCTTCTGAGTCTCCCATGCGGGTGCAGGGTCCCAACGTTTTGGGCTGTCCTCGACTGCTTTCCCAGGCCACATGCAGGGAGCTGGAAGGGAAGCGGGGCTGCCGGGATTAGAACCGGCGCCCATATGGGATCCCGGGCGTGCAAGGCGAGGACCTTTAACCACTTGCGCCACCGCGCCGGGCCCTATAATTATATATCTTATGGACTACATATCTAAGCTATACAAGGATTTAAATTAAGTCTATTATTAGTATCTACAAATAATAGAGATCAGCATAATGTAAGTAATCGATGTATGCAGAATTCCCATTACTATTTTTGTTATATTTTTGTACTACATCGCCTTTGTTTGTCAAGTATGTTTCTTGAGGCAACCCAGAGATTAATCTTTTCTTTTTAATCTTCACTTTTTAAAGTATTTATTTAGTTTTATTTCAAGAACATAGTTACAGAGATAAGAGAGAGATAAGAGAGAGAGAGAAAATGAGAGAGAGAGAGAGAGAGAGAGATGTACCCATTGGTTCTCACCTCAAACAGCTACAAAGGCCAGAGCTGGGCTGGTCCCAAGGCAGGATCCAGGATCCAGGCTCTTCTACCTGGCCTTCCACATGGGTACAGAGGTCCTAGGGCTTGGGCCCTCCTCCAGTGCCTTCAAAGACTATTAGCGGGAAGCCACATTGGAAGTAGAGCAGCTGGATTTGGTGCCCATATGGGATGCTGGTTCCATAGGTGGAGACTTAGTGTGCTATGCCATGATACCAGAATAATTTTTAATTTTTAAATTGAATCAATCAATGTCTTTTTATTGGGACATTTAGCTCATTTGTAGTCAGTTATTAATGATAAATGACAAATTGCCCTTGAAATTTTAATATAAGTATTTTCATAGATTGTATTGAATTTCTTCAGTTGTTTTATCACGAGGTTTTCCACCTTCATATTTTTTTTCATAATGCTGATCGACTCCTTTCCATGGCACATTAATCATAATTTGTAAGACTAGACTGGTGTAAGCAAATTCTTGAAAGTTCTGCTTATCTTGTACATCTTTATTTCACATTCATTTATAAATGAGAGCTTGGCTAGGTAGAGCATTCTGGGTTGGTAATTTTTGCTTTTAGAACATAAATTATATTTCCAGTCTCTCCTGTCCCACAGAGATCCTACAGAGAAATCAGCTCTCAATTTGCTGGAAATTCCTCTAAAAATGAAACCAAACCTCAAAAATGCAAAAGCAGGACAATCCTACTGTCTGTCTCCCTTAGCCCAAGATGTCCTCACATGTCCTTTATCGAAACAAATTCGTTGAAGGCTCCAGCAAGCCTTACAAACTTTTCAACCATTGGACTCAAGGAGTCCTTTGCTCTCCATTAGACAGGAACCTTTGGTGGCCAGCATGCCTGGGGTGACTTGTTTCTATGCAGAATATGACTACCACATGCACTTAACCCCCATACCAACTGGAGCCACCTGGCCACCATAAATTCTCTCAGAAAGATCACAAGCACCACTGACCGTGAATTTGGACACCAATTGATCATGTACCTCTCTTCCTTAATTTCAACCCGTAAGAACCTTGACCCCTAAATCTTTATACAGGGATTATGTAACAGCTGCTCAGCTCATTGCTCTGTGTACTTTGCAATATAAACCTACTTTCTTTCACCTCCCTGATATCAGTGATTGGCCTTCTGTGCAATTGGTGAGCAGATGCAGTTTGGAAGTTCTATAGAAAGAGCTCCAACTAGCTCGGGCTGTTATTCAGCAACAAAGGTGTCCTGGTATAATTCATTTGAAAATTTTAGAGGACTCTATTTTGTTTATGAAGGTTTGACTATAAGCTACCACGGTGAGGCTGTTTTTTTGATCATGCCTAATTGTGGTTCAATGCATTCCTTCTATTTTTATGTCTATATTTTCCTTTAAATTTGTAATACTTTCCATTATTCTATAATATTTGTATTGTATTTCTCCCATGTGGAAGACCCACGATGTTCTCCTGAATACCAGTCTTCAATTGAGCCAGGAGCTTCTTCCAGCTCTCCCACGTGAGTACAGAAGCCCAAGAACTTGGAGCCATCTTTTGCTATATTTCTAGCTCATTAGCTTGATGCCTGATTGGAAGTGGAGCAGTAGGAGCTAGAACCAGTGTCAATATGGAATGAGGGTGCAGCAGGGGCAGATTAGCTTACTGAGTTTTCCTATGCCTTTATTCACTAAGTTGATGATGGGCACAGTAGGGATCTAGGCTCTTCACGCAACCCAATGTTGTTACTGAGATTCACATTATACAAGCCTGTCTCTTCAGGGAAGGTCTGGTGTATAAACGACTCAGCTGTGGTTGTTCTAAGTATGCCTGGCTCACAAATCCCCATCATGAAAAGAGCTTGGCTCCAGAGTTATGAAATTGGTGCTAGCTATTTTTGCTGCATGAAAATAGAAACTTCTCTAATTGAGGCCTATATCCAGCTCAGCGATATTGGAAATAATATTGGCTGGAAAAACTGGTACTAATAGATACTGCCCAAGGGAGTGGTTTGATATGTGGCAATGATTTTGGCTCTGTTACAATGGAAAAAAAAACTTTATATGGAACAAATTCTTTGTGTGCAGTTTTAGCTTAGAACAAAGTATGGTAGTTGGACCAGGGATTTTCAGCTAATTTTCTGGGGTGGAGCAATAGTCCAGAGTGCTATCTGATAAGACCGTAGTGGAGCTCCTCTGTCTAGAGTCAGTGGAGAGAGAGTTGTGCATTCTGAGTTCCTACTCTAACAAACATGTGAATAGTATTGTTAGTACTGAATCATCAGTTTGCACTCTCTCACTCCACTTTGAAATCTGTCCCTGTGTTTCGTGACCCATGAGCCTTGATATTAGAATAAACAGGTGACAAAATCAGGAATTTCTCAAGTGATTCTCAGTGGGAAATTTATGGAGAAGAGTATGGCCTTAATACCAATAGAGCATCTTATTTTAAGAGTCTTTGGGGAGGTCTGACACAGCTCTCCCGAATCCAGTGTCCACTGAAGTAGAAAGGAATACATAGACCTTGGCTCTGTGGTCACATCTGTCCTGTTAGGTACAGTTGTGCACTGGTCTTAAAGCCTGAAATGGGCTGTGGAAGCTTTTTTCTTGGCAGTTAGGCTTCCTGGGCCCTTTTGATTCTAAGCCATCAAGATGACCTTAGCAGACTGGAGCAGGTGAGAGAGACAGATGTTACCACTGCTCGTGGCAGCAGCATTGACAGTGTACTTGTGCTCTCTTCCAGCTGGGTTATGGAGTTCCTGTGCTGTTCTTTCACAGCACTGATGAGGTCCTTAACTCTTATGAAGCTCAACTGTGTGAATAGCTGTTGCATTTTTGTGTCCTGGGGACAATTGCCACAACTTCTTCCTTGGCTGTCATTTGGTCCCATGCTTCTCAGTTTTAACTTAGATATTTCATGGAGGAACAATAAAAAATTGATCAGAAATCATTTCTTTAATTCTTTCTATCTTTGTGTGTTGTATAAGACAAGTAATTATTTTAAATCATGTGTAATTAGAAGGGATTTTATCACAAATGTAAAATAAGCAAAAATCAGGAGAACTGATGTCAGATAAAGTTAATAAAGTTAATAATCATTTGGTAAATGAGTTACCTCTTTTTATAATATATGAGAACTCTAAAGGGAGCATTATAAATGCAATGGTTACTTTTCCATTGGCAATAAAAATTATCTTTTGTATAAAATTGTGAACTGTTTTCCAGTCCCTGCTGAACTGTGGGATATTGCTTTCAAGTCACTCCTCCCAATGTCATAGACCTTTAAACAGGTAGTTAGATGTTGATTCCTGTGGTTCCTGGGAAGGCAGCAGAAAGAAGCAGACTGCTCTTGGCCAGCAGAGTGAATGCAATGGATCCCAAATATCAGCGTGTGGCACTAAATGATGGTCACTTCATTCCTGCGCTGGGATTTGGCACTTTTGCACCTGATGAGGTAATTTGTGCTGCTTAGTGCTTGAGGGGGCAAAAGGAAAAAGACAAAAGAAAAAAGTGGCTGGAATGTAACTTTAGATTTTTGAAGTTAGTTCTTCAGTGATTCCACGAGTTTTAGTGGCTTTAACGGATGACAAATAGATTAATAATATCTAATAATTATTTCATTTTTTGAAAATACATATTATTTGAGTGTGTTTTTTAAAGTATATTAATTTGTCTGAAAGTCAATTGCAGAAATAGTGCCAGAGAGAAACAGCACAAGAGATCTTCTATCCATTACAGAATTGCCCATATTGACTACAAACCAAGGCTGGTCCAGACTGAAGCCAGTAACCAGGAATGTGGTTAGGGTCTTACACATAGGTGAAGGAGCCCATCAGGGTCATATTCTGTTGATTTCCATAACACATTAGTGGGGAAAATGGATCAGAAATGGAGCTGTGGGACTCTCACTGAAACATGTGTTAGATATCAGCATTGCAAGTGGTGATATTACTGCTATGCCACAATAAGAATGAATTCAAATAATATCTGCTTTCCATTCAAGTAATTGCTTATTTTCAATCTTGCTACTGAGGCACAAGGAAGCCTACATTGTCGCTCATTCTCTACCATATTTGGAAGATGGCTGAAGTAGCTACCCTGCCTGGGAAGATTTTTATAAGGCAGATATGCCTAATTTTTGTTGAGGGCAACGATTTGGTTTTGGCTAAAATGGAGACTGTAAATGACCACAGTCCTGTATAAATACATTTTCACATGTTATCAAACTTACTTCTCACAGAAGAACTCTTTTGAGTTCTTTTCAATTAAATAAAATAGGATCAATAACAACTTTTTTCCATATTTTATTTCATATTTTATTCCATTTAATTCCTTCCTGTGTTAACTTTCCTTTGCAAGTTCACTGTGTAAATAACAACTAAGATATCGGCTATTTGCTATTATCTTTTGTACCCTCCTGTTAAATCAATAAAGCTAGCACAGTTCCTGAGGAACTTTGACACCAGTAAATAATATGGTTACCCACTCTGAGGAGGTTCCTTACTTGCATACCTCTTGATGTTAGTTAGGGGAAATTCAGGTTACATGAAATGCACTCAGTTCTCCAAAATGCAAAGTCATTCTAACATGTTAGAAATATTTAATTGTTGTGAAAATCACTGATGATAGATGAACTAATTCTAACCACAGAGGTCTCGAAATAATATTTGTGGTTATCTCTCTAGGTTCCAAAAAGTGAAGCTGGGGTGGCCACCAAAATAGCTATTGATGTGGGGTTCCGCCACATTGATGCTGCTCACGTTTATCAAAATGAACCTGAAATAGGTCAGGCCATCCGCAGCAAGATTGCAGATGGCACTGTGAAGAGAGAAGACATATTCTACACTTCAAAGGTATCACATGTTTGATGCATTAATGTGATAATTAGCAAAACATGATTTATAGAAAGGAAAATTATCCAATTTCATTTTTATTTGGTGAGAAATTGCTCCTATTTCCACATTTAAATCACACATTTTTCTGTTTTATTAAGTTTAACATTTATTTTTCTGGAAGTTTTAAGAATTCTTATTTTTAAAAATAAGAATTCTTCTTGCTCTATTCACATAATATGTGTATTGATTACATACTTCTCAAAAGGAGTGTTTGCTTTGTTGTTTTGCTGTTGTTTATGAATAACCTTATGTATTTTTAACATTAATTTATTGTCACATAGAAATGTGAAAATATTTTCTTTCATTTGTGGGCTTTCTCTTCATTTTGCTAACTGCTTCTTAGTTGTGTGGAAGTTTTTTAGCTGAATAAAATATATTAAAAACAGATAAGTTTTGCTTTTATGCCCTGTGCTATGAATTTGGATAGTTATCCAAAGAGCCATTTGCTTCATCAATTTTTTTTTGTGCTGTCTCCTCTGCTTTCCCCTAGTATTTTGTTCATGTGAAGTCTTAATTTTTTCATCAATTTTGAGATTATTTTTCTGTCATATATATAGGTAGGCATCTGGGTCCAAACTTATGCATTTGCAAATCAAATATCCCAATGTCATTCACTGAATGAACACTGTTTTGTGTAAGGAATGCCATTGCTCAAGTTTTTAAAGATCAAAAGATTATAGATGTGTTCATGTCTTTCTGAGGGCCCTGTACTATGCCACTAGACTACATGTTTTAATGTAGGAGTGCGTGTGTGTGTGTAAGTACCATGATGTTTTGATTATAACAGCCCTATATTATACCTTGAAAGCTGTTACTGTGATACTGCTCTCTGTTTTTTACTGTTTATGATTGCTTTGACTGTTCAGGGCCATTTTTGTTTCTATGACAGCTTTTAAAGCTTTTTAAATATTTATTTGAAATATGCAATGATAGTGAGAGGATGAGATGGAGAAAGGGACCTTCCTCCAGTTGTTTCATTCCTCAGCTGGCCTCTCTGTTCTTTTTAGTCGTGCCTTAATTCACTGCACCCCAGCGTTGGTTCTGAGACTACTATCTTTTGGCTACAGTGTTCAGTGAGTTAGCTCTCTAGTTTTTCTGAAAAACCAGTTCTATAATTCACTGATTTTTTTTTTACTGATTTCTACTTTTAATTCTGTTTATTGCCTCTCTTTCTTCATTTCTTTCCTTCTGATTTCAGTTTTATTTTACTCTTGTTTTTCTAAGTGTTTTGGAAGTATTATTTGATTATGAAGTTAGTATATTTTAATTTTTTTTAATGTAGGCACCTACTGCTGCAACAAACTCTTCTAAAAATGACCCTTTTGACTTATTCTATGACTCAGTGTTCCTTCATGAGCATGTTGTTCCAATTGCACGTACTTGGCATACATTTTAGAATTTCTTTTGCTCTTGATTGTCTTCTTTAGATGCTGTGGTCTTTAAAGATACATAATGGGAACCAGTATTACAGCATTTCAGGCTAATCCTCCACCTGCAAGCATTAGCATCCCATGTGTGTTGATTCTAGCTCAGGCTGCTCTGCTTCCAATTCAGCTTTCTGCTTAAGGCCTGCAAGAACAGTGAAGGAAGGTCGGAGTCTAGAGACATGGCAGATATCTAAGATGAATTCAAGCTTAGACACTCATCAAATGATGGTTGGATAAAGAAATTCAAAATATATTCACAACAGACTATTATTCAGCAATAAAAAGTGAAATTCTGTCATGAAATGGGTAGCACTAAAGGTCATCATGTTAAATGAAATACACCATCACAAAATGACAAACATCACATGTACATATCTTACTAATGGACTTTAATATGGAGCGTGAAAATTATGGAATATGATTTCATTTTGCATATACCCTTAAATATTGATTCATTGAATCATTTTACTCTTTTCTATTTATGTTATGAAGATTGTCATGACTCTCAATTTGTGATACTAGCATCACATCATCAATAAAATTAAATTAAAAAAATAAAATTCAGAAATCTAAATAACATATACTTGAAAACATTTTTTGAATTTTTTGAGACACTTTATGACATTTTATAGACTTATGTGGTCTATTCTAGAGAATAATCTGTGTCCTATGGAAAATAATATGTATTCTCCAATGGTTGGATGGATGGTCTGTGGATTTCCATTAGATAATTTAGTTTACAATATAAATTATCTCTGTTTTGTATTTGTTATTTTTTGTTGATTGACATATGCATTGATATAAGTTAATTATTAATATCCCCCAGTGTAATTATTTCTGATGCTGTGTCTTTCGTTAAATTTGCTAACTTTATTATAAAACTGAATGCCTTAGCATTAGTTGCATATATATCTCAGTTGCATATATATCTTTTTGTCATATCTTTTTGTTGAACAGATGCCTTGGTCAATCCATGTTGATCATTGTTTCTCTTACAGTTCATTTTGTTAATAGAAATATGCCTGCTTCTGTTTTATTTCTTTTTGCCCAGAATAACATTTTCATTCTCTTACTTTTTTTTATCTTTGTGCCATTACTGTTGAATTTGTTTCCTTTTTCCAAATGTGATTGAATCTTGTTTTCTTATCCCTTCAGCCTACTGGTAGCTTTTCACATGAAAATTTAACCTCTTTGTGTTCAAGTTTATCATAGATTAGCAACTCACTTTTTTTCTATAAAATTATATGTTTGTTGGGCCCAGGGCAATAGTGTAGTGGTTAAAGTCCGCGCCTTCCACGCCCAGGATCCCATATGGGCACTGGTTCTAATCCTGGCGGCCCTGCTTCCAATTCAGCTCCCTGATTGTAGCCTGGGGAAGCAGTCGAGGACGGCCCAAAGCCTTGGGTTCCTGCACCCATGCAGGACACCTGGAGGAGGTTCCTGGCTCATGGCTTTGGATAGGCACAGCACCAGCCATTGTGCTCACTTGGGGAGTGAATCATCAGAGAGAAGATCTTCCTCTCTGTCCCTCTTCCTCTCTGTATATCTCCATTTCTAATAAAAATTAATAAATCTTTAAAAAATTATGTTTATTTTGAGCATTTCTTGTTCTCTCAACTAGTAGGTTTTCTACCTTCATATTGTTTTTTGTTCTTGTTTGCTTTTACAATGCATGCTTAAGGATCATTTGTAAAATTGGCTGTGGAGTAAGAATTCTTTTAATTAAAAAAATGCAAAATCTTTATTTCATCTTGGTCAATGAGTGGAAGTTTCTCTGGGTAAGGTATTGTGGTCCTTTCTCCTTGCTGGCATTGTTTGTTTTGTCTGTTCAGACTATGTACTTTGTCTCTCCATTCCATTTTGGACTTTAGTGCATCTGTTGAGAAATGCTCTCTTGGGCCCGGCATGGTGGCGCAAGTGGTTAAAGGTCCTCGCCTTGCACGCCCAGGATCCCATATGGGCGCTGGTTCTAATCCCAGCAGCCCCGCTTCCCTTCCAGCTCCCTGCCTGTGGCCTGGGAAAGCACTAGAGGACAGCCCAAAGCTTTGGGAACCTGCGCCCGCGTGGGAGACCCGGAAGAGGCTCCTGGCTTTGGATTGGCATAGCATTGGCTGTTGCGCTCACTTGGGGAGTGAACCATCTGATGGAAGATCTTCCTCTCTGTCTCTCCTCTCTGTATATCCGCCTTTCCAATAAAAATAAAATAAATCTTTTTAAAAAAATATGAATACTATTGGGCTGAGGTGTAGCTCTTATCTAATCATGTCTTTTTAGGGTCCTACGAGCTCGAAGTATTTGGATGCCCATTACTTTTGCTAAGTATGGCAAGTTTTCTCCTATTAATTCAGTGACCAGATTATTTTTAAACACTTTTTCCCATTCCTCAGAAAATCCAAAGACTCATATAATGGTGTTCTAGAATCCAAGACATTTTTCACTTTTATTTATTTTTTCTTTTCTTCTTTGAGATATTTGAAAATACCTCTTTCTAACATATATTCTTTCTTTTACTTCTCTCAGTCTATTGGGAAGATTGTTCATTGTGTTTTTTCATTTGACTTACTGATTTTTTCATTCTTGTGACATGTTTTTGTTTCTTTTTCAAAATCTTGCTTTGTAAAATCTGTCAAACCTAATTCAAGCACCAGTTGTTATTATCAACTATGGCATATGTATTTCTGGTATAATAATCAGAGCTTTGATGAGTAATATGTAAACGAATGCTAAAGATTCTGTTGATAAATCAGAACACAAGAAATCAAAAAAGAGGAATCATTTTTCTCTGTATTCAACATTTTAGTGTGTTAAAAATAATATTAAATGAAGAAAAGTAAGCAATTAGGCTAATCCTCTGTTTATAACCCCTGCAGCTTTGGTGCACTTTCCTTCAACCAGAATTGGTCCGGAAAGCCTTGGAACAGTCACTGAAAAGACTTCAACTGGACTATGTTGACCTGTACCTTATTCATTATCCAGTAGGTTTGAAGGTAGGAAGTTTAATATCATCAGTTTTATTTTTCATTAGCTGTCAATATGAACATCATTTTCTCAAATGAGTAAATGATATTGATACATTTATAAAAGCTTAGTTTGCTTAAGGTATAAAAACTGCTCAAACTTGTTTCCGACATCCAGTTTATTGTATAATGTTAAATGGGGAGCCCAAATCATGAGTAATACACAGCTGTGAGGTTTTAGAACTATGTATGTATCAGTAGTTTCCACAGCAATGCCACAGGTTTAAATAGATTTATCTGAGCATTTTCATCCCTGACATACATGACTTCAGACAGTTCCAAAGTCTCAGCCACTAACATTACGTGGCTGATCTGTATCTGTTAGTATAATACAACCTTGATCCGCATTCTGTCTGATCCACATACATGCAAAGATATGAGGAAGACTGATCTTGTAGCCTGCATGAAGAGTACAGTCCAATATTAATGGAAGACAATGTCATGTTTCTACAGAAATTCACAGTTAAGCTTATTTCTTTAGATGTAAGAACAGAAGCACACAAAGTAACATCAATCCATGGGTTACTATTTAATTCTGCAAAAATCGCATTGAATATGTGAAAACAAATGTGAGAAGAAAGTCTGTAGCATAATGACATTCTTTACTATTCCATATGCAAGGCATGTTGCAAATACATGTCTGAAATGTTGCTCCGTATATTTTACTGAAGTTTTATGTTTCAGAATAAATTCAAATGTGTGTATTCCTATGAGGTGCATATCTGAATCCTGTGGTATAGTGTAAAATTACTTCTGTTCCAGCCTGGAGAAGAACTGTTCCCAATAGATGAACATGGGAAAGCAAAATTTGAATCAGTGGATATCTGTGCCACTTGGGAAGTGAGTACTGGAAGGAGTAAGTATAGAGGAAGCAGCAATTGGAGGGCAGCAGGTCCCAATTCGATTTAAAGAATGAGTCATAAAATCTAAAATGTACATATTCATGTCATCCTTCATTGTAATTATGCTCAAACAGTGGGAGAGGAAGACAAAAATAGGATGTTACAGACAGAAACAGAGAAGAATTAGGGGCAAAGAAGACAGTATCATCTTTTCATTAATGTACAATGCTTTCTCTGTTTTCTTATGGATGACATAGGAATTTCTTTTCTTAACATCAACATCCCTCACAGTATTTTTAATGATTTTCTTTTCTTTTGTCAGCCAATGACCATTAACTTCATTTAGTCTCTTGACAGTTTCAATTTAAATGAGTTATAATACCTATAATATTTTTGTTGTTTGTGGAAATACACTTTACAATCTTTCTGCCCAGATGATGGAAAAGTGCAAAGATGCAGGACTGGCCAAGTCCATCGGGGTATCCAACTTCAACCGCAGGCAGTTGGAGATGATTCTGAACAAGCCAGGCCTCAAGTACAAGCCTGTGTGCAACCAGGTGAGAGCCTCAGCCTCCTCTGCTTCAGCTTTGAGTTCTTTTATTCCAATACCATTTCTCCTCCACTTCTCTTTGCCATACACTCTGGAAAAAAAAATTCTTCAGGAAGATCTTATGCCTGTGTTTAGGGCAAATAAAACCCTCCATTATCTCCGTATTTGGTAATGTCTTAGGGAAAGGTAATGGATCCTTAGTACTGAAATATGTGTAAAAATCTGTGGAGGCAAAGATCATCAAGAAGAGCACGTGTCCATTGCCAATCCTCAATGGGAAGATGGGTTTATCTGCAAAGGAGATGTAAGATATCAATACTTAGTCAATAATCAAATCTCAATGAAAGATGGATTTATCCCAGATTAATCAAGAATGTATAGGATCAGAAAGGGAGGAAGAGAAGGGGGAGTGGGAAATCCCTATACCTACATGAATGTGTCATAGAAAATATTAATAACAGTAAGAAAATGCATAGGATGATCATCACAACCACTGATTGGTGAAGGTGATACAGAAGTCACTGCAAAATGAAAACAATTGATCAGCAGCATATAATGGAATAGTGAATGCAGGACAAAATAGCTGAAATGTTTTTTGTTTTGTTTTTGTTTTCTCTTTTATGATAGAGTTCCATAGACTCCTGGAAGTCCTTTATCTCCACCCTAAATCCACCCCTCACTGATTTACTCTATATAATTATATTAATATAGCCATCCATAAACAATCATAAGTCCATCATTCTGCTATTTTTTACTGTATCCTGACATTGTAGGTATGGATAATGACAGAGGCCAAATCCTATTGCTAAGATATATTTAACAGATTCATTGGCAATCCATCTTTGGAAGCAGAAATGCATACTGCACTATATCTTCACATCTTGATATGACAGTCTCTGTTACACATATATCTAGATGCATGTTTGCCTTTATACCTATTGAATTTCTATGCTTTGTAGTCTGCTTTATATAAGAGAGAATATAGGATATTTGTCCTTTAGGGGTTAGCTTATTTCAATGAGAATGACAGTTTCTAGTTAGGATCATCTTGTTGAGATTTGATGAATTTTATTCTTTTTAATGGGTAAAGTGTGTTCTATAAAGTAGAAGTACCACAGTTTCTTTAATAACTCCTCTTTCAGTGGTCATCTGGTTGTTTCCACACCTTTGAAATTCAGACATACAAATCTTTTTTATTTATATCTGTTCTTTCTCTTATATTGAACAGGAAGAAATAATGGGAGACTAAGAAAATAATACGGGGAAGACATAGCATATTGTGGTGATTCTTTTGCGACCACATCTACACTCAAGAAAGTTTAGCAAAACTTAAGCTGCTGTTCTCCTTGAGTCTATTTTATTCCTTGTTCTTTTGCCATCAAATCCATGTTTAAATACAATATTTTCAATCTAAATTTCATCTGTTTCTACATTTTGCTACATTCATCATTTATGTTTCCATTTATTTTAATACTAATAATACAAATACTATGAGACTGTTCAATATTGTCTATTCACAGGTTGAATGCCATCCCTATCTCAACCAGAGCAAACTACTGGATTTCTGCAAGTCCAAGGACATTATTCTGGTTGCCTATGCTGCTTTGGGATCAAGTCGAGATCCAAAATGGTAAGAGAAAAACAGGACGTATTTTCTAAATCACAGTGTTGATGAAATTCAATCAGTTTACAACATTAACTCACAACTGACTCAGAAGGAGGAGATTGTACACATTTGAAATATTTCAGATGTTGTGAAGCTGGTACAGAGACTGTCTTTTTGAATCACTGATTTAGAGTGGATTACGTAGCATGTTTTGGAAGCTTCTTAATAAACTGAAGGCTTAGCCTCAAGAGCTCAGCTTTTCTACTTCTTTCAGGGTGCACAAGAATACTCCAATCCTCTTGGAAGATCCAGTGGTTTGTGCCTTGGCCAAAAAGCACAAGAGAAGTCCAGCCCAGATTGTCCTTCGCTACCAGCTGCAGCGTGGGGTTGTGGTCCTTGCCAAGAGCTTCATTGAGAGGGAGATCAAAGAGAATATTCAGGTGATGGGCACTTGGGACTGGAGGAATCCAGGAACCTACATAGTATCCCTTCCATTTGTTCTGCTTTGCAACATGTCAAGATATTTTTGCATCAAACTTTTACCCATGCATTCAAAATTTCTGTGTATTTTTGAGACATAATAAGAAGGCATAGTTATAATGAACAGAAAATGTTAAAAATCAGTTTTTCAGTATGAACCTCAGGATAAGGTTGTGGGATTGTCCACAATAAATATGGGTAAGAGTGGCCTCATAATTTTGTGAGCAGTCATCTTTTCAGTCTTCTGAAAAAGCATTAAATGAATAGACATGAAGTGATGGTTTGAAACCACCACCTCTTCAGGCCTTTGCAGTAGTTATCATCCTAGGGAAGGGTGTGTATATGGGGGAGGGGAGTGATGGGAGGTGATGTTTGCCTTGAGAACTGAATTGAAGCAGGAAAACCTGACAGTATTTACAGAAGCTAAAGTGACCTTCCCCACTGCAACTGTATTGAAGTGGCTTTGGATTGGGGTCTGAATGGAGAGAGATCCTTCTGAGATAATTTTAAGAGAGTTGTATGGGACATTCATCTTTCATTCCTTTCCTTCTGTGAGCCATTACTGGTTGGAGGGTGTTGGAGATGTAGAATTCCTGAAATTTCTTTTATGATTTCATAGTGTACTTAATAGTCCCCTTGGTATAGGGCAAGGGGAATTTCCTTAGGTTCCCTAGGGAGAGGACTGGAACCTGCTTTGACAAGGCTATAACCAAGGAAAAGGATGTCATGCTGTCCCCTTGTTTCAAAGAAACCAGTAAGATGAATTTAAGTTCTTGTCCTGGTGTCAAAGACAATTCATGAGAAATGACACACAGTTAGAGCAGACGTCGAATCTTATTTCAATGATAGCCAAAACCCCAGCAAAGGAGAGGGGCTGATGAAAAGGAAGAACAAGCTGCTGGGGTGTCACAGTGCAGGGCTATTTGCATGTCTCTAGTGCGTTATCCCCATGAGCAATGATGATGGTTATATAAGCTACTATTAAGGCAAGGGCAGTCTTAATGGAGTCCTTTCTCACTTGCTTTTCCAGAAATGTAAATGTTGTCCATTGGCAATTATTTGTTAGAAGGGACTTCCATCTCACTCTATTTAGTGCATGCATATTTATCAAGAGCATCACTGTATGTGATAGCAAGAAGCTGTAGGATGTGGCCAATCTAGCCCGATCTTAGTCCTGGATTCCCTCATGCTCAATAGTAATGCCAGGAAGAACGAAGAGTTTCTTCAAAGAAGGGCCAATACACTTTGTGGTTCTGGTACAGATGTCCTTTGAGTCTTGACATAGTTTCATTTCCAGTGACGACTTTTTGGCGGAGTTGCAGGGCTTCTAGAAAAGCCAATCTCTGTAATGGCTACAGTCTATTCAATGCCCTGGCTTTTTACATCACACACAAAAAAATCCCTCCATAACTTTGTTGTTGTTGTTTTACTAAGTTTGGATATTTAGAGAGGATTGCAAGAACGGACATGTAGTTGGGGAAGTTTAACAAACTCCCTCCCATTGCTGACTGTGCCACAGTCAGAAGCTGGGAGGAGGGAGAAAGTGACCCGCCCCATTATACCACACCATCATGCATCCAAGTCAGCATGCAGGACAAACTTTGGTAATCTTGCTATCTTTTAAAACAGAAGAGTTAGTTTTAAAATAATTTCCTTCTATTCTCTTCCAAGTTAATCTCACAGAGCATTCAGCTTCCAAAACCTTGTACAACATGCTTATTCCTTCAATACCTGTTTCTGTTAGAACTTTCTATCAAAACATGCTTTCAACTTTCCTTCACCAACAATACATTCTTATGCCTATAGCTTTTTTTCCCACAACTGTATCCCCACCTACTGGTTCCTTTAATTTACATCATAGCTTTCAATACCTCTTGATTGAGAAAACAAAAAATATTTCACTACATGAAACATCTTAACCCATAGTTACTTCAAAGCAGTTTTGAATTTTGAAAACCATGAAAGCAGTTTTTTTGAGCACTAAGAGCCTCAGAACAATATTATGGTTTGTGTCTTTTGAGGTCTGGCTTATTTCATGAAGCACAATGATTTCCATTTGCTCTGTTTCTATTGAAAAAGACAGATTTTCCTCCTTTTTGTGGTTGAAAGCATTCCATCAACCATATAAACCACATTTTCTTTATCCAGTCATCAAGTGATGGACATTTGGGTTAATTCCAAGTGTTATATATTGTGAACAATTAAAGACACAGAGATGCAGATAACTATGTTGCTTTTATTTCTATTGGGTAACTTCCCAGGGTCAGGCTGGTGATCAAATGGCAGCTTTCAAGGAGTCTCTGAAATGGTTGTTCCAATTGATATTCTCACTAATACGCGGTGTTTATTGATGAGTCATTTCTTGATGTCTCAAAATATTTGTAAACATTTCAGGGTTTTCAAGAATGGCAAATATTCACTGTAAAAATTTAAATATTGTATTCCTGCAAACAGATATTTGGATTCCAGTTGTCTTCAGAGGACATGAAAACATTAGACGGCCTAGACAGAAATCTTCGATATTATTCTGCTGATTTGTAAGTGGCTTTAGTAAATGTGTTGCCTTCATTTATTTGCTAAGGAGGAATGTAGACTGGGTTTTAGCCTTTATTTTCCTACTTCCGGCAATTAAGCTCTGTGGGAACCACGCTTATAGCCTAATTATAAATCCGTAAAAATAATACTTCATTTCCCAAACCTTCTTAATTTTTATCTGATGAAGGTATTTCCAGCAACACTTTGATTCTAGACGATAGACCTGTTCTTTCATTGACATGTTTATTTATACCGTAAGTCTTTAATAGCTTAATTCAAACTTCAAGAGTTGTCTTATTTCTTGATAGAAGTTCTATAAAAACTACTCCAAAATATAGGCGGCTTCGGAAAAAAATATATCTTATACCACAAAGCGTGTAAGTAGCCTCCAAAAATGGCAGTAGGCTTGGTTACTATTCTCTTCTGGAAAAAAAAAATGCATATTTAAGAACTTACAAATTAAATAGAAACTTTCATTGATGTTTTTGAAACAAATTAGTGCTAATTTCAGAAGTAATGAGTGCTTATCATAAAAGTATTTCCCTGGGGAAAGAATACAGATGAAGGATGACTTTTACTACATAAAGCTCAATTCATCTGGTTATAAATTTCTGTACCTTGGGCCCGGCGCTGTGGCGCAATGGTTGGGGTCCTCACCTTGCACGCCCGGGATCCCATATGGGCGCCGGTTCTAATCTCGGTGGCCCCGCTTCCCATCCAACTCCCTGCCTGTGGCCTGGGACGGCAGTCGAGGATGGCCCAAAGCCTTGGGATCCTGCACCCACGTGGGAGACCCTGAAGAAGTTCCTGGTTCCCGGCTTCGGATTGGCACAGCACCAGCCGTTGGTTGCGGCTCACTTGGGGAGTGAATCATCAGACGGAGGATCTTCCCCTCTGTCTCTCCTCTCTGTATATCTGCCTTTCCAATAAAAATAAAATAAATCTTAAAAAAAAATAATATAAATAAATAAATAAATAAATAAATAAATCTCTGTACCTCACATTAGTAAGAAATCATGAGGAAAAGAAATTCAGCATTGCCAAGACAGCTAACGGTAACACCAAAAGCAATAATCAATGGTCTCAGGTGTTTATAAAATACATTTTTTATTGTAACTTTGGGAATAGGCAAAATAAGCCTTATGTGAGCCATTACTGCATTTCACAATACCTTTTTAGCATTGTAATAAATTTGATTTGAAGAATAAGTACGTTTCCAATTGGCTATTGCTATTTTTCATTACAAAATAAGCACTTAAGAAAACTACACCACTATTAATAATAATCTTGAACTCAAACCCTGTATTTACCTTGAGAAAGGTTGACCTTAGAAGGTTAATGGAAACACATGATTAGGATCTTCAGAAATATAGTGTTCTCAATACCGATGAAGAGGTGTTAAATGTAGATTTTAGCAGAAGAGAATGGAGTCAGTAAGTCCATGATGGAAGGGTATTGGAAGCCAAACAGAAAATCCTCACTCTCCTTTTGAGCTCGAAGTTTTCAGAAGCTAAAAAAAATATACAAACAACAAGAGTAATCAGGACTATACATTCCCTCCATCTGTGGAATTTATAATTCATGATGGAAATAAAAGTGATGTTATGAAAGAGGTTAGTGGGCTGTAAAATTGTGTATTCGAAAGTACTGGATGTATTATAATTACTAATGTTCATTATTATAGATAAAATGAACACAATCAAAGAGATGTAACAAATAAAATGGCAAATTATGAATAATTATATTTATCATAAAGTTATGATCATGAATAGGAAAGATTTTAAAAACTAAAAGAAAGCAAACATTACATCTACCTTAATGGTAGCTCCACAGAAATCATTTCTTTAGTATTCTGGAAACGTGGTCACTGAGTTTGGATTGTGCATTCTTCCCTTCTTAGGTTTCTTGGACACCCAAATTTTCCATTTGCTGATGAATATTAACTCAGAGACAACTTTCACTTCTACCAAAAGCTCCTGCAATTGGACCCATGGCTGAGGAGACATCTCAAATGCTGGTGACTGCGCACTGTTCTGGCTACTCTACGCTGCTAATAGCTCACCCTCGGTTGAAGCAATATCCACAGGATATAACATGATGTCTATAGTTTTTTGTCATTATTGAAAATAAAATGTATGGTAAAGATTTTTGCCTACCACTTGCTTTATTACTTGTATGCTTTGTTTCATTCTACTTTGTTAATGCTGCAAACTGATTTTCCTATCAATTTGGAGACCCGTGTGTTTGTGGATGCACTGGCGTGGGGAGATAACAAATAATCCACAGATTGTGCTGAAATAAAGTGGAAGGAGTTATAACACAGCAGAGCATTTAGCAAAGATTTCTTAGTCACTATTGCTTCAGTGTTTTCAGGAATAAGAAATCATTGCATAAATCCTAGATGGTGAAATAATACTGCAAGGATGATTAGTAGTCTAGATGTTCCCTTTTAGCATCATTATGTGTCAGGGCTACAGACACCTGGGTTTTTGGTATCCTGGGGAAACTGAGGAAGTAGGGGCACATCTCTCTTGGAAAAGCTGGCAACATTTTTTGATGATATCTGTAGATAAAAGGTAACTTTAAACACATTTTATCAAGATACTTAGATACTCACTATTATGTATACCCTAGGGGAAACAATTAAGTCCCTGGGCATAGAGTGGCATAGAAAATGAAAGAACCAATTAGAAATGAAATGAATAAAAATGGAAGAACTAATGAGAAGATGCCCATTCATATTACTTCCATATTTATCAATTCTGTTAAAAATTTAAAATGAATATTAATCCCTTCCCTTTTATCCCTTTAAAAAACATAAACATGAAACTGGAAGGATAACTACTATAAAGTACAAATTATAACAAAGTCATTAAGTATTATCAAGGGTATATGAAAAACCAAAAATAAACACAGAATCAAAACCACGCTCTTCATCCACTTAAAAGCCTTAAGAAAAAAGCATATGCAACATAGCATGTTGTTTTAGCATGCAAAAACTCCTTAGACTATTTTTTACAACGACTTGGAATTATTTTGATTAACTTTTCATTATGTAAAGATACTCAGACAATCAGATAATTACATCAAAAACATAAATTAATTTCAAAAACTTTCTTCAAAAGTCAGGATAATGTCATGGGCTAAGAGTCAAGAAACTCAGAGGCTGTCAGTTTTCATGACCTGTGTAAATATTTGAACATGAAATCTTTAGCTCTTCTGTCTCTGTGGATACTTTTTTCCTGTCAAGTAGGCTTTAAACAACTTCCTATAACTGAGACATATCCTACCAAAGTGTATGCCTTACAGTCTTTCTGTCAATATTCACCATTTCATAAGCTGTGAACTTTTTATTCTTTTTTTTGTGTGTGTGTGTGTAATTTTGGGCACTTTTCCGTCTTCACTCAAACCCTTTTTGATCTCAGGTATTCTTCACACTTTACATATCATCAATGATCTGAGAAATCTCAAATCCAAACTTCCATGTTAACATTTAAACTAAACTCCAGATTGAAACATCAAATTTGCTACTAAGAATTTCCATGTGTTCATGCAATGCACATATCATAAAAATCTGAAATAATATTCTCTAATCCTCTAGACACCTACCTCCAATTTTGCCAAACTTGGAAATTTTTAACTACATACCTCCTTTTAAACAATATTGGAGTTGAGATCACCTCCCTCTTTTTTTCTTGCAGTCAACATATATTTTTCAAGCTAGGATTGCCAAATTATCTTCAAAATGTATCCAAAATTGTCTTCAGTGGTTTGTTTCCCATTATTTAGTATGTTGACTTTTGCCTGTTAGAGGAATATAGAAGTTAGGAATCAATCCTTTTTCTCTATGAATGGAGAAATCTATATAAATGATGGATGCAGTGATATTTAGGCAAAATAATATTGGTAAAAATGTGTACACCCTCAGTGGCATTGGAAAATTAAAAATACAGAGGTATAGTTATCTAGATGAAGTTTTTGCAATGGTCATTGAAAAACCACTGGAATTAAACTGTTTGAAAATAGACCAAGCCTTTTAGGATAAAACATGGAATTAAGATTTTAACCAATTATATTATTTCACTGGTTAGCAACTAAGACCGATATTTGATATCACTATTATATGTAGGTGCCAGTCCAAGTCCTGGGCAGATTACCTTTTTCTTTTTAAACATATACTTATTTTAATATCTTATGATATAGTTTCATAGGCTCTTGAATTTCTCTTCCCACCCATATTACCCCCCACACTGATTTCCCCTATATTTTTGCAATAGCATAGTCTTTCATAATCAGTCATAACTCTGTCATTCTGCTATTTAAGGGTATCCTGACATTACAGGTATAGACACAGCACCCTATTGTCAAGATATAGTTAACGGTTTCATTGACAGTCCATCTTTGATTTGGAAGTAGAGATGCATGCTGCATCGTATCTTCACATATGGATATGATAGTCTCTATACACAGTTACTATATATGCCCTTAAAATGACCAATATGGAGGTGAAAGAATGAAAAATGAAATAAAATACAAACTTCTTGAAGCAAATGATGCTAATGTGTGACCTATGTGTCAGTGAAGAAATCAATAAGAAAAATGAATACATCAAGCTGAGAAGCAAAGAAGATGATAAACAAAAATGAAGAAGAACCAACAGAATGGGATTAAATCTTTTAACACTGCACAGCTGATAGGGGTCTAATATCCAGGATTTACACAGAGCTTCAGAAACTCAACAACTACAAACAAGCAACCTTATGAAGATATGGGTGGAGGATATGAACAGGCATTTTTCAAAACAATAAATTCAGATGGCTAATAGACATATGAAAAAAAAAATGTCCAGGCTTCATAGCTGTCAGGGAAATACAAATGAAAATTAGACTGAGGTTCCACGTAACGTTAGTGAAATTGGTCTACATTCAGAACTTTACTAACTATGCCTGCTGGGGTGGATGTGGGGAGAAAAACACCCCCCTTCACTGTTGGTGAATACTATAACTACTGTGGAAGTCAGTATAGAGACTGCTAAGAGAAGTGAAAATAGATGAGCCGTATGGCCCCGCTATCCCACTTCTGAGAATATATCCAAAGGAAATGAAGTCTGCATGTGAGAAAGAAATCTGTAAACCTGCATTTGCAGCAGTACAGTCTACAATATCAAAGAATATCTTTTTAATAACCAAGTAGTATTCCACGATGCAGATGTATCACAGCTTCTTTATCTACTTCTGACTGGCATGTGGGTTGTTTCCTTGTCTTTGCTATTGTAGATTGTACTACTGCAAATGCAGGTTTACAAGTGACTAAAGTACTTGTTTTGAACTCTCCAGGACCTCATATGTGCGCCAGTTCTGATCCTGTGCCCACACGGGAGACATGGAGGAGGCTCCAGGCTCCTTGCTTTGGATCGGCTCAGCTCCAGTTGTTGAGGCCACTAGGGAAGTGATTCAGCCAGTGGCAGATCTTCCTCGATGTCTTTCCTCCTCTCTGTATATATGACTTTCTAATAAAAAGAAATATTTTTTTTAAAAAGATACCCGGAGTAGTCTTGATATATACACACAGAGAGAGAGATACAGAAATAGATATAGAAATAAATACCAAATGAAGGAAATCAGGTAAACGACACCAAAACAGTGGGATACGTAATGATTTTTTTTTTTTTTTGGATGAAAATTCTGAAACAGGGGCAGGAGTAAACGAATGCACCCCAGAGTCCAGAAGAGAAAGAAAAGATGTGGTTTAGATGTGGTTCCTAAAAGAAAAACTTGCCAACCAGTAAAATTCCTGTTAATTTTTAGATGTTGAGAGCAGCCCTTTCCTGTGTTGTGGGAATTCCTTGCTCATAGATTTTCAATCAGTAAGCAAATCAGACACTGGAACTGTGAGTGTTGCTGTTTTACATTTTTTTAAGATTTACTTTTTTTTTTTTTTATTGGAAAGGCAAATATACAGAGAGGAGGAGAGAGAGGAAGATCTTCTGTCCGATGATTCAACTTCCCCCTCCCCAGCAAAAGCGGCCTCCAAAACCCGGGGCTAAACCATTCCAAAGCCAGGAGTCAGGAGCTTTTCCCGGTCTCCCACACAGGTGCAAGTTCCCAAGGCTTTGGGCCATGCTCATCTGCTTTCCTAGGCCACAAACAAGGAGCTGGATGGGAAGCGGGGCTGCTGGGATCAGAACCAGTGCCCGTATGGGATCCCGGTACATTCAAGGTGAGGACTTTAAATGCTATGCTATCACACCTGGTCCAAGTGCTGGATTTTAAGAAATGAGTGGACACAAGGACTCAGAATTATTACCCAGATCCAGAGCTCCAAAATTTGCACTCATGCAGGGTAAAGAACTTGCGACCAACAAATCCTCTCCAAGAGGTTGACTAGCTATGTAGGTTTGAATTTGGGTGGAGCAATAGCCCAGAGTTCTACCTGAGATGAGACAGGAGTGTTAGAGCACCTCTGGCTGCTGCCAAATGGGGAGGGAATACTGGGACTAATTGCTTTGTTCTGAATCTCTCCACTCACCCAGATGCGAACACCATCCAGAACACCTTCTCGCTCTACATTGCACCCTTTGACTATAATTGGATATGTGTCCCCAGTGTGCACAGAACCCTGAGCCTCTGCAGTCAAGCTAGATTGCTGCATGAGACTCAAGTCACAACTTGCAATTGTTCTAGTTGTTTGAGAGAGAGATTGTGAGGGAGAGTGTGCCCCCCAATTCATATGGAGGATGTCTCCTTATTTGGAGGGTTTAAGGACTTGCCTACACCAGATACCCTGAACCCACTGTCCACCGTGATGGAAAGGGTTATTGTAGGATTGGGTTCTGTGGCCTATTAGGGCCAGCTGAACCCATGAGATTCAGTCAGACCTGTTGGTGCTATGGGTAAGTAGGGGCCATTAAGGAGAGCTTGGTTCTTGTCTCATGTCAAAGAATTGCCACATAAAGCAGTGAGCAAAGGAATACTTTTTTAAGTCAGGAATCAAACCACCTTGCCACAACAGTCAGAGGGGAAGCTCTCTATGAGCTCAGAAAATGGTCAAATGGAGTCTATTAAGCACAATTCAAAGACTAATCAGAGGGTGGAGACAAAACACAAAACGTATCGAACAAAACCTATCAGAATTACAATTCTGTCTGGCTTAGCTCTGATAAAACATACAAGTCAAAGCCGTTAGAAGGGTGGGTTAATAACTTCTTTCTATTCTCATGATAAGATCAGAAATACAGAAGGGTAGGTTCACTGCCTGTTTGCTATTCTGATGATAAAACTAGAAACTCAGAAGACACTTGTTATTTTGTTTCTTGAAGGGCAGCTTCTTGGCCGAAGCAAGCATTTTGCACAATTTAAAGGTGCACAGGAATTTCTCCGCCTCTCATTCCAACAGGGATCTGAGTGTATTCATGTAACTCCTTACACTATAATGCAGAACTACCTTCTAGACTGAACGTAAAAGCCAGTGAGGACTGTGCAATTCTTTGTTGCCAGGATTAGAGATCTCTAAACAAGGCCAGATGAGGCAGGAGTTGTAGTTCCTCAACTTAGCAATCATGACAATTCATCCTTTCTCTCAGACGGATTCTACGTGCTGTTTCTTTGATACTTCACTGGGTTCCTTAGCTCTTGGGAAGGTAGTTGGTGCCTGGATGGGGTTCCTGATCACAACATTGTCTACAAATGGGTACCTGTTTAAGTTACTGTGCACAGATGACTATCTGTTCAAATTAGTGCATTTTATTACTCAGCCACCATCTTGTTGCAATCTCCCCAGTTTAATGTATTTTCCCTCAGTTCATTTCTTTAATTCTGTGTATTTGTGTTTGTTTATGTAGTGCAATGCAGAATACATGGCATTTCATTATAAAGATAAAATGAAAGGACAGATGTCTGATTGCTTATAGTTTAATAAAGTCATGGTTTCTTCTTTCATACATTTTATATAATAGTAAACTGTTTGCACATCTCTTCTTCACTAGGACATACCGCTTTAACTTTGCTCCTCCCACATTCCTAGAACTTTAGACAGACAGCAGGCATGTTGACTTCCTGTTCCTCTCGTTCAGGCAGCAGCAAGAAGCAGAGTGTGATTGGTCAGCAGAGTGAAAACAATGGATGCCAAATTTCAGCGTGTGGCATTAAATGACGGACACTCCATTCCTGTGCTGGGACTGGGCACCTATGCACCTGATGAGGTAATTATCTGCATTACTTTTCATTTCAAGGAACGAAAGAAAATAGAGCTTGGATAACTGGAGTACGAACGAGATTGAAAAGTCAGCCAGACTGTGTCACACTGACAGTTTCACATTTTTTCCCCCAAGTTCTCCAGGCTAGCAGTATTTCATGCATAAGATTGAGTTTAGTCGCATTTTGCTCTGCCTGACGGTCAGATTCTGTGGTCCCCTGCTGGTGATCCTGGACACTTTGTTTTGCTACTTTCGGAAAGAGAAGCAAGTCAGAATTCATCAGGACCGCTTCTTAGTTTGCTTGCCTGATGTTTGATTGCAGTTGGAGCGATTTCTTGGCTGTTTTCTTAATTTAAGAAATATTTCCAGTTCCCAATCAGGAATGGTACAGGGAAATTTTTCTGTCATGAGTGGAAGTGTATAGGAAACGAAGCGAGAGTGAGGCTGTTCAGTTCAACAGTTCAAGGTAACCTTTAACTGAAGGTTACACAGTAATTACAGAAGCAGGAGACAGAAGATTTTTGCTTTGTGTTGTTCTTACCTCTGGGGAAATTGCCTAGACAAAAGTAGAATAATATGTTAAGGAAATGGGAATCTAACAAAGTGAGGCTAAGTGTTTCATACTGGCTAACAAATGTAGGATTCAAAGGAGTATGTGCATGGGCCCAATAAAGTGAGCATTGTGGAGGGAACCTTACACGCTGATAGGGTTTCCTGATTACACAATCGTCTGACATGGTCTGTATATCCAAATTTAAACTTCTGTTTAAACAAAGACTTATTTAAAGTGTCTAAAAACTTTTCCTTGTATTTCTGTAATACTTTATATTTACTTTCACTTTCATCCATTTAGGACATGAGGAGTTTCTTCTTTCCTCTTTCACAAGCACTACATTTGACGAGGGTATGGGAAGCTGTTTTATTAGCTGAACATTAAAAGCAACGTTGGTCATTATATTTGTTTTTAATTTACTCACATTTCAAGATGTTGTGAATGCCATAATTTACTAACCCAGTATTTTGCATCTCTCAGGCAGTTTTTCATATAATAAAGTACAAACTATCACAAATAAACGATGCCATTCATTTTATCAAGAAAAATAATTTATACAAAGGACAGAAAAGAACCTTTGAAGGCACACACCAAGACTGATTTACATTTGACAGTGAGATGACAAGAAGTAGAGGGAAGGATGTAGGGCATTCAGCAATGTTTAGATGGGATTAAATGTCTTAGTGCCCTCACAGCTGGGAGGGGAGCAGCAGGCAGCACGTCTACTATCTGATTCCTTACTATTTTGTCAACAAATCAAGCTCCTCAAATTACTCAAATGTTTGGAAGCATTTGTTTCATTACCTGTCTATCCTGTAACAAACACTTTCCAGTCTCTATGCAATTTGTGAAGGCCAATGATTCTGAAGTTTAATTCTGCTTATCTCATATAAAAGAAACGGCTTATGTCTCGGTGACTACAATTATTTAGAATAACTTCTTATATGATACAGTTAATTTCTCAGGTCAATATGTACTCTTGAGTATAATTTTTCTGCTCCTTTTTTCTTTTCTTTTGCTGTGAGGGACAGACAAAATGACTCTGTAGAATAGGGTTAATATAATATCCTCCTATCTATTGAAATGTCTCTTATTCAGTTGAATCTAGATTGGCATCAGAAACCCTACACTGTGTTCAATTTCCTGACTTCTTAACATGGTGGCTGTAACTAAACTACCTGTCCAGGCATTGGAGTTTGTTTATCTCTGAATTTCTTTAAGGAAATAGAATATGCATTTATATATATTTCATATATATTATATATGTGCATATATTTTATAATTTTTGTAAGTTTTATAACCAAATCTCAAATTTCAAAAAAATCTCAGAAGTAGAGAACTCTAAAAACCAGCTTTTTTTGATACAAATTTGTAAATATTGCAAAAATTCAGTTCTTGTAGAATTGTGTTCTGTCTCATTGGAAGAGGACTCCTAGCTAATTGTGCTGTATTTTGTCCATATTTCATTCCATTCCATGTTTCCTTGTGCTAATATTCCTTTGTGAATTCACTATGTAGCAGTTAGGATATTAGCTTTTGGCTGTATCCTTTGAGCCTTCCATAAAAGCAAGACCTCAATGGACAACAGATCCTCCTAGTCAGTGGCTGCTGAGCTGCCTGCTTGTTCTTAATTAGGGAAGACCCAGGCAAAGAGGGATAGCTTCCTTATCCCAGTTATACAAAATCATCCAGACCTGAGAAGAAAAATGATTATTGTGAGGGCCACTGCTGGTGCATCACCTTTTTTCTAATCACATGTCTATCTCTCTCATATTTTTGGCTGCTTCCTCAGGTTCCTAAGAGTAAGGCTACAGAGGCTACCAAAATAGCTATAGATGTTGGCTTCCGCCACATTGATGCTGCTTATGTGTACCAAAATGAAGAGGAAGTTGGTCTGGCCATCCGCAGCAAGATCGCAGATGGCACTGTGAAGAGGGAAGACATATTCTACACCTCCAAGGTACAGTAGATGTGACATGCAGGTGAACTAAGCAACTAAATGTTTTGTGTGGAAATAATTATGCAATTCGGTAATTAAGGAGGAATTTCTTATGGCTACAAATTAATCACTGCTGTTTAATTTTTATTACATTTTATGTTTTTATTTCATATTTAAGATTCACAATCTTTACTTCTTCTTCTTTTTTTTTTTTTTTTTTCATTTGTGAGGATTTCCCAAGACACACTATCCCGGAGATCCCAGAGAGTGTTTTCATTTTACATTTTCTTTTTCGTTTTCATTCCTTTGTGTGTGTGTGTGTGTGTGTGTGTGTGTGTGTGAGTGTGTGAAAAAGAGAGAGTGGAAAGAGTTAGTGAGAGCTTTTATCTCTGGTTCACTCCACAACTTGCCAGAAAAGTCAAGACTGGACCAGCCTGAAGCCAGGATCCAGGAGCTTGATCAGGGCTCCCCTGTGAGTACTGGGACACAGTACTTGGTCCATATTCTGTGACTTTCCAAAGCACATTAGCAGTGAGCTAGATTGGAAGTCGAGCAGCCGGGTGCTCATATGGTATGGTGCTGTGGGCAGCAGCTTAACCCACTACATCATGGCACTGGCACCAGTTCTTCAATGTCTCTATGTTTTTATTTGTGAACTTTGTCAAACATAAATGAAACAATGGACATTATCGATATTTGATAGAAAATCATCTCTGACACCATAACCATCAGTCTTTTAGTAGGCCTATTAGTAACTTCTACAGAAGTGATGGAGATCATGAGACTAATTATGGCATAGGACACCCAAAAAGAAGGAAGCCTTTTCCTTCAGTGCTCACTATTCCTTGCCTAGTATGAAAAAGTCTCAATATTAGATGAAGTAAATCAAGAAATTTGACCAACATATTTATTCAGCGCAATTTCCACTGTTTAACCCTTCAGCTTTGGTGCACTTTCCTTCGACCAGAGCTGGTCCGACCAAGCTTGGAAAAATCACTGAAAAAACTTCAACTGGACTATGTTGATCTCTATATTATTCATTTCCCAGCAGCTCTGAAGGTAGGAAATTATCATCATCAAATTTGCTTCCCTTTTGCTGTCAGCATGACCCTAAATTTTAAAGACAAGTAAGTGATATTGATAAACTTATTAATTTATGAAAATGATAGAAACCACTCAAACTGGTTTAAACATCATAACTTATTGTATTAAAATGGAGTGCTTAAGCCATGAATAGATGTATAGTTTCAACTCACCACTGGAAAATGTTTTGTTTGTATCAGTAATTGTCTGCATCACTGTATGGTTTATAAAATTTTTGTAGGTTATTTATGTTTGCTTGTATTATTAACATTTGCTACTATTTCTGCATCTTCTAGTATTACCTTACAGTTTCTAGCTTTGCTTGTTATTAAGTAGAAGCTCAATATACTTTTTACAGTTCAAGTGCTTGTCTTTGGAATTATGTGCGTTAAGGAATTTCAGGAGTACTGATTGCTTGCCCTGGACCAAAGAGATTGAGAGCATGTAGCTCTTGAGTTTGACAGTGGAAGAGAAGCATTTTTCTAGGGGAAAGAACACAAGAATATGAAATAACATTGAACCTCAATACAAGGCGGAAAATAGTATTTATTTATTCATACACACACAAAGACAAAAGAAATAGCATGACATTATTTATCACGTCATTTACAATACTCATTACAAATACTGTAGAATGTTGCCCCAAGTATTTTATGAAAATTTAATGTTCCACATTGCAATACATCTGGGTATTTTGCTATGGTGTGGATACCTGGCTATGATGATATAATGATAAATGACTAATTCTCTTTCAGCCTGGGGAGGACTTATTTCCAAGAGATGAAAACGGAAAAGTAATATTTGACACTGTAGATATCCGTGCCACCTGGGAGGTGAGTATTTGGAGAAGTAAGTACAGAGGAATCAGGAAGAGGGAGAATTGTATCACCACCCACCTCACAAGATTGGTGTATGCAGCTTGGATATAGAAATCCATGTTCCTTGTAAGGGTTAAGGTGCTAAAGTGATGGTTGGCTGAGACACTACCGAAAGACACAGACAGCAACAGAGCAGAATTCGGAACAACGATGGATGGCACATTTTTTGATTCATGTGTGGTGATTTTCTGCTTTCTCAAGAAGAAAGCAGTAATCTGTTTTCTTGCTATCCTATGTCTACTATACTTCTCTCTGGTTTAATTTGTTCATTCAGTGCCCAGTAGTGTCTGTATTATTATTTTTTCTTTTTTAAAAAGATTTATTTATTTTTATTGGGAAGGTGATATTCAGAGGGGAGGAGAGACAGAGAGGAAGATCTTCCATCTGATGATTCACTCCCCAAGTGACCGTATCAGCTGGAGCTGAGCCAGTCCGAAGCCAGGTGCCAGGAGCTCTTACTGGTCTCCCACATGGGTGCAGGGTCCCATGGGTTTGGGCCGTCCTCGACTGCTTTCCCAGGCTACAAGCAGGGAGCTGATTGGGAAGTGGAGCTACCGGGATTAAAACCAGTGACCATATGGGATCCAGGCACTGGCAAGGCAAGAACTTTAACCACTAAGCTATTGCACCGAGCCCTGTGTTATTTTGTAATATTGTTCCCTTTAATGGTATCAATATGCCTTCATGTTATTCTAGTCAATTGTGGAGATAGTTCTTTGCAGTCTTTTTTCTTAGGCCTTGGAAAAGTGCAAGGATGCAGGACTGACCAAGTCCATCGGGGTTTCGAACTTCAACCGCAGGCAGTTGGAGATGATTCTGAACAAGCCAGGCCTCAAGTACAAGCCTGTGTGCAACCAGGTGAGGACTCAGCCTTCCCTCCTTCTGATTTCCATTCTTCCGGCTCATACTCTTGCTAGGTTCCTCTTTGTTCTCCACATCTGTTTACTTTTTTTGTGTTGAACAGAGAAGTCTGTAGGGCATGGAGTGTCCTCCATTGTCTCTATGTTTGTTAATGTTAGTTAAAATTGTTGCAACATGTGACAGATTATAGGGAGATCAGAATGTTCAAGAAAGGCAGAAGCAAGAATCAAACCTCAAAGGGAAGATGGGATTTTTTCCCATATTAGTGAAAGATACATAGGAAAATTACATCATTTATTGATGGCTAAAGGTATTATTAATTAGTTGACATTCACAGCTTAGGTCAGCATGTACTATAATCAGTCTAATAGATTAAGTTAATGTTTATATCTTCCCTTCAATCAAAAGAGAAGATACTGTAGTGATCATCGTCGGAAGGGACATATATTTTATTTGCTTTCTCTTTCTTTTGTTTTAATATTCACATTGATATACTCATGAGGGCTTTAATTTTTTTATATAAAACAAATGAGAATTTTAGAAGTACTTCAAATGAGTCATACATTCTATTTTCTTTTTCAATTTTTTAAAATTATTTGTATTATTTTTCATAGGTACAGGAATTTCCCCTTTCCCTACTCCCTCTCTCTCCCTACTTTCCCATTCCACTGTCTGCCCCTCCCTTATTATTATAATAAAACAGTCCTTCAAAAAGAGTTACAAGTTCTGCATTGTGCTACATGCATGCACTATGGCATTGCAGGTATAAATAAAAACAGAAAATCTAGTATCATATTATCAAGGTACATTTAACTGTTTCACTGGCAGCCCACTCTTTATTCAGGAGTAGAGCTGCAAACTGCAAGATATATCCACCCCATTATGTATTCATCTCTGATCATCTATGTGTGCGCATGCATTGTGTGTGTACAAATTTATTATATATGTATTTGTGCATTTTTGTATGAATTTTGCCTTAGAGAGAACACGTGCTATTTGGCCTTTCAGAATTGGCTAATTTCATTGAGCATAAAGACTTTAAGAAATACCTTAAAATATCTTGTTCAAATTTCATGCTTCCAATTTGGATCCAGCTACTCATACCTTTAAATTTCCATTCATATGAATATTAGCATTGCATTTAGTCTTTTTTCTTTTTTGCATCTGTATCCACAGGTGGAATGTCATCCTTACCTTAACCAACACAAACTGCTAGATTTCTGCAAATCGAAAGATATTGTTCTGGTTGCCTACAGTGCACTAGGATCACATCGGGAGCCAAAATGGTAAAATACAGAATGTGTTTGTAAATTACTTTTGTTTGTGAAGTGTTTTGTTGTTGTTGTTGTTTTTTCAATACCTCATTTACAGAGTATTGTACTGTATATAACTGTCAACTGACTGGTTAAGAGGGGCAACCTTCAAATGATGTTGGTTCTGCTGGTCCAAAGATCACAGCTGGCAAGCACTGATCTAGAATGAGTCTCCTAGTCTGTTTTGGAAGCTCTCTAACAAATTGAAGGCCCAGCCTCAAGGTTTCAGTTTCTTCACCATTCCTGCCAGGGTGGACCAGAGCACTCCAGTTCTTCTGGATGATCCGGTCATTTGTGCCTTGGCAAAAAAGCATAACCGAAGCCCAGCCCTGATTGCCCTTCGCTACCACCTGCAGCGTGGGGTTGTGGTCCTGGCCAAGAGTTTCAGTGAGAAATGGATCAGAGAGAATATTCAGGTGAGAACCTCTTTGCTGGCGGTATCAAGACCTTGCACAGTATGCTTTGTCTGTATGCTTTGTGAGATGTTAAGACATCATTGGGCCAAGTCGGTTACTCTTTATTTGCCCATGTAGTTGAGATGTGCACATATTGCTGAGAAATATAATGATAGGAATTATGATTGAATGGAAAACACAAATCAGGTTTTTACATAAAATAGACATTTATTATGGAGAGCTGATATGCTAGCAAATATAAGTATATATTTTTTTGCTATTTAAAATGGTTCATATTCAATAGTGGAATACACTTCAAGCATGTTCTTGTGTCCTTTGAAAAAAAATCATTATGTTCAAAAATTGCTGTCTTAAATTATATTAGAAAAAAAACTTTGTTTTATAATTCTAATTCTTCTTTGATGAGATATAAAAATCCAACTGTATCAAGAAGCTTTAGTGAATTTTTCTGTATATTTCAATGTTTGCCCTTGGATTCTCTTGGACCTTGCACTATGATCCCATCATCTGTCAAGAATGTAAGCTTTCATTATTTTAGAGAACTTCGAAATCTCCTTTGTGGTAATATAATGTATCTAGTCATGCCCTGCTACGTAATTTTCTGCCATGCTTTATTTATGGCTCAAGCATTTTGTTTGGTGTCTCAAAATGTTTGGAACATTTTGGGAATTTTCCACATTTGCAAATAAGCAATATAAATTTTTTTCTGATAGGTTTTTGAATTCCAGTTGTCCTCAGAAGACATGAAAGCTCTAGATGGACTGAACAGAAATGTTCGATACACTACTGCTAATTTGTAAGTAATACTGGTGAATGCTTTGCCTCAATTTGTTTTTGGAGGAGAAATGTAGGGTGATATAGTGTCTATTTTTCAGCTGTTATGGACTGCAATGTGGGTATCACCAATGTAGCAAAATTAAATACTTGCAAGATCATGTTTGCTGTGTCATTCAGACCTTATCAGGTTGAGTACGGTAACTGTAACCCTGTGTTCCTAGGCAGAAATCCGTTTCTCAAGCCAGCAACTTTTGTTTTGTTTTTGTTATTTTTAGTAAGTAATTGAGATACTTAGACTTCCAAAACCATGTGGATTTATAATGGAATAAATAATTGCAATAATTGGACCTGAATAGCAATCAGCTCCTCTAACTTTATTATTGTGAAAGTTGAGAACTCAAGTTTATAAATTATTTATGCTTGGCATTTTTGTTGTTGTTGTTGTTCAAAACTATATTGGTTGTTGAAGGTTTGGAGAAATGTGACTTATATTGCTCAATATGTGAATTTCCTGTAATCTATACTTACAGGTTTCTCTGACACCATTCTCTTCCCCACAACTGGGCACTTAATTACTTAAATATTAAAGAAGCTTAACATACATTTTTTTAAAACACATAAATACTAATTTAAGTGTCTTGAAAGTTTGGCAATAGAAACAGTTTTCTTGGGGAAAGAAAGCAAATGAATATTATTACAATAAAGCAACTTCATTTAGATTAGGCACTGAATTTAGATAAGGCACTGTTAATCTAGTGCAATTTAAGGGGGAAAAGTGACCTGACTGAAATGCCAGGAGCAATACTCAGTGGAGTTTAGTTATTGGTGATATCCATATAAAATAACTTCAGGAATAAATCATAACAGGCCTTACTTTGAATATTCTTTATCAAATAAGGCAAGATTTTTTTTTTAATTTTTAGAAGAATCCTAATAACACTCCTAGGCTATTTAACCATCAATTTCTAATAACTAGTGTAGAAAAAGGCATGTATACTATGCTATTTAAAATGTGCAAAGAATTTCAACATGGAACACCCATACACAAATTCTTATACCCTTCATATGGAATCCTTTAATGTACATTGATATGAAATTCTTACATTGCTTTAAATCCTGTTAATGTTTGGAATAGTTTGAAAGCTTGTCATATCTTGTCCATTTTTTTGTAAGGATTCAAACACTGCATTTAGCTAGAGGGAGGCTGGTTTCAGCGGGGCAGTTGAAACAGTTTTTATTTTCTAAAATATGGTGATCTTAGAGCAGAAAATGAAGTCTTAAACGTAGATTTGAAATTAAAGAATGAGAACGGACTGAAAACTCCCAAGATAAAAGAGAGTTTGCAGCCAACAGAGTATCTTTTACTTTTCTTCTATTTTCTAAAGTATAGAATCTAAGCAAAAATGTACAATACATGAGAATAACAAGGATCATATATTCCTGCCACACATGGCATTTTTAATTCATTACAGAAATAAATGCAATAATGTATGAAAGCCCTTAATGTAGTATAAAATATTAAAATGATACAATCATTGTTTTACCAGTATAGAGAATAAAAAAGACCATAGCAGAGACATAGTACAAACATAGAGAGAAGGTTATAAGTATGAATAATTCCTAAACTTCTGAGACAATTTAATAAGCTTTCAATTTTTATCACATTATAGTCCTTACAAAATATATAAATGGACTAACTTATAGGAAATGTTTGAACATTGAACTCTGTCTTATCTATGACATGCTCTCCCTTTTGTAATCAAATACATTATGCTGTTTGATATGCTGTGATCTCACAAGTAAAAAATTAGTTGAAAGGCTGCAAAATTGCTAGCTTTTACCTCTCCCCCCACAGAACTTTCCATACCTCCTAACAGTATGAGGATGTGCTTTGTTCAAAGACACACAAAATAAATCCACATTTTCCTAGATTTAGCATAGGCCTGCATATTACTTTTCATGCTGAAAGGTGCAACTAAGTCAGAGCAATGTGTTTGAATTCCTAAATTCTGCATGTTTTTCTATGTTAAGTTCCAGGCAAAGGGAAACGATTTGAAAAATTGTATTATGTATCTGTCATAAGTTCATGCTCATGAGTATAAACCAGTTCTAAAACAAGATTTATTTTTATTTGGGTGGGGGGAAGAGAGAGAGAGACAAAGAGAGAGAGAGGGAGAGAGAGTCACAATGGCTGGGGCTGAGCCAATCAGAAGCTAGGAGCCAGGTCACCCACGAGGTGACATAGGCTCAAAATGTGGGCCATCATCTGCTGCTTTCCCAGGCACAGGAGCAGGTAGCTGGATTGAAAATGGAAGGGTCAAGACTTTAACCAGCATCCGCATGGGAGGCCAGCACTTCAGGTGGCAACCAGCCTCAGCCTTCTATGAAATATAGCTTAACCTATAAATATAACATACTTTTCTATTGTACTCTAATGGTAACTCCATAGAAATCACACAATTAATATTCTAGAAATGTGGTCACTGAATTTAGATTGTTAATTGTTCTCATTTTAGTGCTGCTGGACACCCAGAGTACCCATTTTCTGATGAATATTGACACTGAGCCTGCTCTCATGGCTGCTGCAAATGTACCATGATGGAGACAGACGCCGGTGACTAGCTTTCTCTTCTGGTTGTTATGAGCTGTTCAGCCACTCAGCCTCAGCCTCAGCTGCATCCACGGGGCATAAAACATGGCATTAAGTTTTGTCACTCACTGAGAAATAAAATAATGCTCATTTATTAAATATTGTCATTGGTCATAGATTTCTTTACTTGCCTGATTTGTTTCATTTTGACTCCTTATTTCCTCAACTGATTTGCTCTTAAGATAAATGATTTGCTTAAAACAGTGGAGACGTGTGGCCAGAGACAGAAACAGAAGAGTTATAAGTATGAAAGGCAATAAGGAACGTTTTTTTCCCAGCCTTTATTTCTCTAGTCTTTCCTGGAACAATAAATATATCCTAGGGGCCAGAAGGTGAGGCAGTCTTGCACAGATGGAATCCTTCAGGAGCTCACTTCCAGCCTCTTGCAGATCAGAGCTGTTCACGATTGGGTAATATGGTGTCTGGGGGGGAGGTTAGATACGGGGAGAAGAGGAGTAGGCTTAGGAAGCATAATTGCAAGTCCATTATGTGAGAAATTGCATAAGAGGAAGTTGAGCAGTTGCAGTTTGGGAATATCAGCAAAGTTCTGTTGGGAATAATTGCTACACATAAAAGGTAATCTTTAATAGGTTTTGTCAGAGAGTCTGGCTTGAGCTTCCCCTTTAGCTGTGGTTTATAGAATAGTTTCTTTTACATGCTTCTGTCTCAAATCAAGCATGTCTTCTTGGTTTGTTATATACCAGCTGCATTAGACCCTAAAATGCAAAAGAAAAAAAAAATTCTCTTGCTTAAGCTGGCAAGCTCACTACTGCTGGAGACCAGCTCTGGCTGGCTTTAGACCTTGCAAAGGATGTGTGGATTGACAGGAAGACAAGAAGAGATGTGGACCATTATGGTATGATGCCCATAATGGACAACTCAAAAAAGCTGCTTTCTTTATACAGAAATCATCACAAGATTTTGCATGACATACAATTGTTTCATTTTTAAAAAAAGATTTATTTATTCCTTTTTATTGCAAAGTCCGATATACTGAGAGGAAGAGAGACAGAGAGGAAGATCTTCCATCTGATGAATCACTCCCCAGGTGACCGCAAAGGCTGGTGCTGTGCTATTCCAAAGCTGGGAACCAGGAAACTCTTCTGGGTCTCCCACGCGGGTGCAGGTTCCCAATGCTTTGAGCTGTCCTCAACTGCTTTCCCCGGGCACAAGCAGGGAGCTGGATGGGAAGTGGAACAGCCAGGATTAGAACCGGCGCCCATATGGGATCCCGGGGCGTTCAGGGCGAGGACTTTAGCTTCTAGGCCACACCGCCGGGCCCAATTGCTTCATTTTTTTTTTAAAAGGATTTCTTGTTTTTTTTTTTATTGGAAAGGCAGATATACAGAGAGGAGGAGACAGATAGGAAGATTTTCCCTTTGATGAATCATTCCACTTAGAGGCCGCAACTGCTGGAGCTGAGCCAATCTGAAATCAGGAGCCAGGAGCCTCTTCTGGGTCTCCCATGCTGGTGCAGAGTCCCAAGGCTTTGTGCTGTCCTCCGCTGATTTCCTAGACTACTAGCAGGGAGCTAGATGGGAAGCGGGGCTCCTTGGTTTAGAATCAGTGCCCATATGGGATCCCAGCACATTCAAGGAGAGGACTTCAGCCACTAGGCTATTGCGTCAGGTCCTAATTGCTTCATATTTACTTCATGGTTAAGAGGATACATCAACAATCCTCAAAAAATCAATATTTTACTTCAAAGAAAACATTTTCAGCAAACCATTACTCATTCAAACCTGCAAGTCACCTGGCTGAAGCCAGGAACTCCATGGTTGGTAGCACATGTGGTTACATAGTGACAAGTGATTTACTTATATCCAAAATCAATTTTCACTAAACATAAACTAATATTACTTAAAATATCAAGAGTAAGGAATTAAAAAGAAACCTCATAAATAAAAGAAATTTATAAGGCATATATTGTAGATTCTTGATTGAATCTTATAATCAGTCATATATTAATTAATATTGCTTTTACCTAGTGCTAATTCAACTGTTTTTCATTCTTTTATTAAAGGGCAGTGAAAAGGATCAGGGCAACTCAACCTTTCTATGAAAGGAGGGCCTTTACAATAAACTTTTTACTTTTTCAAACTATTTTCTTTCCCTAAATATAAGTGCCAATATAAGGTAGAATTTTAAACCATTTTACTCTGGGGGTTCACATTTGTCTTCCTTTAGAAGATGTCCCATATACTTTCTGCTTTACATGGTGAGAAACCAAAATGCATCATTTCACGTGTTGTAACAGTTTGAGGCTGCAAGGTAAACAAGCTTTTTGTACTTCCATGGTTGCTATCTGTTCCAAGATATTAACAAGCCATTTCTTTTTTTAAAATTATTTTATTTTTATTGAAAAGGTATGGATATACAGAGAGGAGGAGAGACAGACAGGAAGATCTTCTGTCCGATGGTTCACTCCCCAGGTGACTGCAATGGCCGGTGCTGTGCTGATATGAAGCTAGGAGCCAGGAGCTCTTCCTGGTCTGCCACATGGATGCAGGGTCCCAAGGCTTTGGGCCGTCCTCAACTGCTTTCCCAGGCCACAAACAGGGAGCTGGATGGGAAGCGGGGCTGTTGGGATTAGAACCAGGCCTATATGATATCCCGGCACTTGCAATGTGAGGACCTTAATCATTACACTGTTGTGCCAGGCCCTAACATGCCATTTCTTATGGAGAACATTATGTATCTTAGAGTCAAAAGTGAGCACACAATACAATATTTGGGAACAATGCAGGCTCAACTGTGCTACCGTATGCTTTTAGCTGTGTTTCATTGTCTTTAGTTGCTAAAGATCCTTTTACCATAACATGATTGATAAAATCAGTTTCCATTAAACCTGTTAAGGAAATCATTTCACATCTACAGAAGAACAACAACGCCCTCAGGAGAATTCCACGACATATCTGAGAGGTGATTGAGTGTCCATATAGTGAGGTGATTTGAGAGACATTCTGCCAGCCTCACCATGCATCCAGAAACTCCTTGTAGCCTTGGTAACCAAGGAGGTGTGCTCATCACACCCCATGCCATTCTACCCAACTGCACGGGCCTCCACAACTACAGCCTCCAGAAATCTTAGTTTCACTTGTTATTAGAGCCAAGACCCGGATGACTGAGAGCTCCTTAAAGCTGTGATAGTGATTTAGTAGTTGCTTACGTTTTCTGCATTCCGAGGTTGCCCTAAAAGAATGTATGCATTAAATAAAACCACAGACAAATTATGGAACACCTGGAGCTGCAAATCTCCATGTCAAAATAAGCTGTGGGCTTCCCTAGTAATCTTTACTTGCTGCTTGTGATATAAAAACAGGGGGAAACAGGTCCCAGCACTCTAACCTCTTGGCTAAAATCCTCTCCTTGCATGTGCTAGGATCTTATATGGACTCCAGTTCTAATCTCAATGGCCCCACTTCCCATCCATTCTGGGAAAGCTGGTCTGGGAAAGCAGTCAAGGACAGCCCAAAGCCTTGGGACTCTGCACCTGCATGGGAGACCCAGAAGAAGCTCCTGGCTCAGCTCTGGTTGTTGTGGCCACTTGGGGAATGAATCATCAGACGGAAGATCTCTCTGTCTCTCTTTCTTTCTATATATCTGTCTTCTCAATAAAAATACTAAATCTTAAAAATACAAAACAAAACAAAAGAAAACAATACAGGGGGCAAAGGAAGGATGAGGACTTGATCCAGGGCAAGAATTCAGTCAAATTCCCATGCAAGAGAAAAGGCCTTTCTTCTCCAGAATGCTAGATTTCTTCAGCCTGCAGCAGGTTCAGGGAATCTGTAGCAGGTTCAGGGAAGCCTTGTTATCGTGTTAAGTCACTTAGAAAGGTCCTATTGCATAACAGAAATTTCTAGTTAATGCTTGCACTAAATTAAAAGAAAAAACATACAGGAGGAAAGAATCGCGTTAACCCTCCTGATGGAAGCGTCCGCCCGAGAACCTTCAGGATGAACAGAAATGAGAATATAAACAGGGAAGGCATGGGTCGTCATGTTCACCCAGGGGTACTTTGCATGAGAAATTGTGCCTCAACTCTAACATTTCTCTTTTCTGTTACTTTGCCACTCTGCTCTGCTTCACAAAACAAAGATAGACAACTCATCTTTACAGCAAAAAGAAACAGTTAGCAGTCTTATTTTTCTAAATCAGGGACACTCAGACAGTGCTGAGCTATCTGGACAAAGTAAATACTAATATATTTTGTTCAAACTTGAATCGGTTTTCTTTTCCCATAGGACCCAAAATTAGTCTTACCCTTAAACATCAAAAATATTGCAATGTGGAAAAGATTTCTACAAAAGACCTTCTCAGAATTTTATAAATTTGAAAAACTTCCTGATCATACTCTGCCCATTTCTTACTAGTTTTCTTCCTATTGCTTACTCTGCCATATAAAAGATAACCCCTCTAAACTTACTTTGCCAGTAGAGACTTAAAAAAAATGATTATTTCTACTTATTTAAAAGAAGAAGTTAGGGATGCTGAATGGAACCGGAAAGTAAATAGAGAATCTCCTACCAGAACTTTTACTCTGTGTTTCCAAAGACCAGTCTAACCTGTCTCCCACCACTGTCTCTGCCACCAGGGAGCAAGATCTACTAAGATTGAAATACCTTCAAGTACTTCATATACACAGCTTTCAGAACGAAGTTACGCCTCCCTCCCTTGAGCCATCCTCCTTCATCTATTTCTCTTTCAATGTTTGTACAATAATGTACTTTCAATTTGTTTTATAATCACAAACTTAACCTTCTATTAAAAATTTTTACAAAAACTTGTATTAGCTTTTATTTGCAAAAACATGCCTCTTGGTGGAGAATGTCTCATAAAGCAATCACAGAGTTTTCCTAAGAAATACATTAAAAGGAAATCATTTTTCCTTTTACGAACAATTTCTTCAATTTATATTTTCAATTTTTTTCTTTTTTTAAGATTTATTTATTTTTATTGTAAAGTCGTATTTACAGAGAGGAGATACAGAGAGAAAAGAGAAAGATCTTTCATCTGTTGGTTCACTCCCAAGGCTTGTTCATATCAATACATCACACACAAGGCTCAGTAGGGCAGAGACCTAGCCTAATCCATCCTACATCTATCCTGCTCCTTCAGAGCACCAGATAGTGCTGGAATCGAGCCTGGTTTGGTGAATCCAGCCCCAGTCCACACCTGTGCCAAGGGGGATTGCATCCATATCCAGACCAGCCCGCGCACTCACAAGTGGGAACCCCAATCCAAACAGTGTGTGTTCTTAGCTCCCCAACCAGGCCTGTTCCCAACCATAGATCGTGCACATGCCAGTGGTTGCTCTGACCTGGCATGACAGAGCCTCTCACCTGCCATGATTGCTCCTAGGGCTATAACTTCATTGCTTCATGTTATTCTATTTTTTTCAGTCTATCTCAATATAGCCAAGTATTAGAAATTTCACACATTGATATATACTGGTTTTGGTTTAACCTTTTTTATATTATGATATAGTACCAAAGGCTCTGGGATTTTCCTTCCTCCATCCCCAAGTCTTCTCCCCTCATTGGTTTCCTCTATACTATATAATCAATATATTCTGTTTTTTTAAATAAATATTCTTAAACCAGGCAAAGACTTATAAATAGGAATTTTTATTTTAGACATAATGATATTTTTCTGAAAGTCATATTTCAAGTAAATTATACTTGCATTTTAAGACTCTGGTTTCCTATTGCATAATGATGTCTCATAGTTGTTAATCCCTTCTTCCCTCAGCAGCAAGGCAGAGTGAAGTTTCTCTGCATGTTTCATGATTGCTCCTAGGACTATAACTCATCAGAACTGGACATTCTTATTACAAAGCAAAGAATGAAGCTCCAAAGCATATTTTGGCAAAGGAAAAAAAAACATTAATTTTCCTTCCATTAGGTTTTGTTAATTCCATTGGGAGTCAATATTTTACAAAATACACACTAATCATTGTTTAAATTCTCTCTGTGTATGTGTACCTGGTGTAATATAGCCGATTGTTTCAAACTGAATGTAGATCAAGGACAGACTTTTTCATGAAAACATTTTTAAAAAGTTACTAGATGTTCCAAGGGTTTTAATGTAACAGTCAACATTAGTTCAATCAGTTTTATCCTAATACTTACAAAAAAGGTGTGCAATATTCTAAAGCAAAAACTTAATATATCTGAAGATTTCTCCTTAAGTGATTGACCTAAAATTTTTTCTTTCTTGTAAATTAGCTGGACTGTTTATTGGTTTCTTCTTAAATGTGGAGTATTGCTTTAATTGTACTCCTCCCTTTTGCTTCTAAAATTAGACAGGAACTTGTGTGCTAACTTCCTGTTTATTTGTCCTGATAAGCCAAAAGAAACGGAATGTGCTTGGCCGTGCAAGGCAATGGATCCCAAACTGCAGTGTGTGGCATTAAGTGATGGCCACTTCATTCCAGCACTGGGATTTGGCACCTATGTACCTGATGAGGAAACCAAGTAGGTCTGTAGCTCAGGGGGCAAAAGACAGTGGACTCAGAAGGTGACCTGCATTGTGAAGTCAGCCTGCTCCAGTGTGACTATACAGATTTCACTTGTGTTTCCAGTTCACCAGGCTAGAATTATTCCAAGCAGAAAATTGAATTCAGTCTCGTTTTGTTCTTCATGACACCTGTGATCTTCTACCCATGATACTGAACACTAATCTTGTTTCCTAATTCGGTCTGTTTCTCACTTAAGCGGAAGAGATCAGAGTCTGCACCCAGGAATGTTGCATACCAACTTTCTTGCCCAGTGTTTGTAATTGGATTGGTTTCTCTATTTTTGTTCAATAATTCAATAAATATTTCCTCATGTTAATAAGGGCTAATGTAGAGAAATTGTGTTCCAAAAGATAATAGAGAAGTAAGGCATTAAATTTGGAGGGGATTATCTCTTCTAAGGCAGGAGTAATCTTGGTACCTAACAGTAACTGCTGGAGCTTGGCTCAATAATTTCCTCAAGTACTGCTCCCAGCCTTAGGAAACTTGCATGCAGAGAAATATAACATCATGTTAGATGCAAGCTGGAATATAATAGGGGCAGGGCTACTTTATTTTTTTTAACCATTGATAACAAATGTTAAAGTGAATTGTGCAGATGTTACTACACAATCATAATGAGCACAGCAGAGCAAAATTTGCACATTGACAATCTTCTACTTTAACTGAATAATGCAAAATTGTTCACTTCAGATTTGACCCCTACTGCCAGCAGGGGGCAGTAGGACTCAGTCCCTTGTTCATTGTGTTTCCAATGAGAAAGGTCAACTTTTCGACTTTAAACATTACACCAACAAATCAAAAGAAATTATTTACTACTACGGTTTCAATGATTTTTGTGATTATATCAAAGTTGCATAGGTTGGTTGTTTATTCATTTGGTTATTGCTTACAGTCTTTGCTTATTTTTCCTGCCAGGCTTTCTTTTGTTGAATTCTGTATCATTTTGTGAGAAAAGACTGAGCAACATTTGCACCATATTTCTTCCACACTTCATTCCAGACATGTTTTCCTTGCATGACCTTAACCTCTCACCTTACTGAATAACTACCTGTGAGTACAAGTCGGTATGAGTCTGTGGTCCTTCCCGCTGATTGCTGAGCCTCCATGAGGCCCCAGTGATATGATTTCTGTGGCTTAACATGCCTCCCTCTGATAAGGCCCTGCTATGGGCAGGGATAGATGTTTAGGATGCTGGCATTCAAGCCTGGTTGCCATAAAGACCATGGGAATGGGTGCTCATAGGCCTGTGTTAACGAGGGATCGTTCACTTTAGATAATCCCTACACACACACACTATAACGAAGAGAACATGAAATTTGCTCTATAACCGTATCAAAATGTGACTAGCCAATCCTAGGCCCTCTTGCTTTTTCATGCCCATCGCTGCACAGAGAACCCACAGTGAAATCATTTACTCACAGGTGAACTTTCTGTGCTTTGTAATGGATGTTCATGGGAGAACCTGGCTGGTGTGCTGTGAGTAGAACAGAGCCTTCCAATCTTCCTGAATTTTTCTTTTTTGATCTGGGTCTATTTTTATGGTAAGTTATCCATGGTAATGTGGTTAAATAAACTCAATAAAAAGGTTGGTTTGGTCTCCAAGGTTGCTCCTGACTTTCAAGGGCTTGTCTGAAGAGGAACCAATCTTGGCTGATGTGATTGCCTTTGCTGTCATTACGTGTGTGCTGCTTTTGCTTTTGTTCTCACTTGCCAACCTAAACTGTGAAACTCATAATCTGAGTTCTTTCTGAGTTTCTACAATCTGAGTGTACAGTTTAAACCTTCCTGAAGCAATTGACCAGTTCTTAAGAATCCAAGGATGAAGGGTTTTCGAGGATGATTATCCTGTTGTCAAAATCTCCGTCAAAGAGAGCATAATGAGCACGATGTTCTATGGAAGGGCCTGATGAGGGCATGGATAGCACTCACTTGAACAAGCGTATCTGAGCTGAATTCCTAAGCTGCTAGATTTCTGCAGGAGCAGCTGGAGACTATGCAGTGATGCAACGGTAGGTCCTAGTGATAAGCAACATTGGTGTGGTTGCACCTCCTCTTTGGAATCTGATGCAGCACAGTGTTAATGCCTACCTGTGTTTGTCCATCCCTGACCCCACACCTCATAGGTTAACAAGGCAAACATCCAGGGAAACTTGATCAGGTTAGAAAACAGTAGAGAATATTTCATACTTTCATTTCCTGGGGTATATAAGCCCATAAATGAATGTAAACCTCTATACCAGCATGCCTGGCCTGACTTAGGCTTAAGGCCCAGCAACACTCCAGTTTTTTAATGATAACAGTGTTTGCAGTCATGCCTAAGGCCAAAGCCAGCAATGCCATTCTAGGGTCTGAAACTCAATCCCTGTGAAAGCCATCAGTGGGCACAGGCAGATGCCCATAAACAGAGCCCCTTTGGACCACCAGAGATGGAAATATCAAATAGAAATTTTACCATTCAGAAGTACAAACCAATTTAATAGACTTCCAATGATCCTGTAAAAGTCCTATCTCAATCTCAACTTCCAAGCTTCTAAAACTTTTCCCGGTTTTGCAGGATATAAGAAAATGTTGCAGGTAATTTCTTCAGGGCCAACATCAGATGTGGCCCAACAGAAGAGCAGATGATTAACCACAACTAATGATTTCTAATTCTTTTGGAAATGATCAAGGAAGAAATTTGTATGATCTCTGTGCAGCTTCCAAATCACGTGCCAATGGATGGGAACACTTCCCCATAGGAGTGGTATAACTCTGGGGAAGAGGCTATAGAATTCAAACACTATTGTCCCTTACAACGGCTGGTTGCTTTAGTCTCTTTCTGGGTGCTCAGCTAATCTGTGATCAAAAGGCCCCAATGCTTTGAGCTGAAGGTTATTACAAACTCTAGAAGAACCAGTTATCCCCCTAGAATAACTGTCTTTTGAAAACTTGATGTATATTGTGTTTTTCTTAAAATTTCCACATATAGAAGTCAGGCACTTAGAAAAGTATGACAAAATGCTCTTAAAGCAAGGAGAAAGGTCATAATGCCTGAATGAAAAGCTTGCATTCAAAATCACCCATAAACCAAGTTATTCCGAGAAAATCTTACTTAGGTGACTCATTACCATGTACCCTTGATTCTCCCAAGGAATTTGTACTTATTATGCAACTAGGATTCTTATTAACCTATCTGGGTAAACAAAAGGAATTGAAACAAAAAATAAAAATGTACCTGTGGTTTCCATTATTCTGGGTTTCCTTGTAAACAAACTAAGTGCCTAGGTTTCAGAATGATTGTATAATCAGGTTAGAAATTGGCTTCAAATTCATTGGTAAGTCCTGGGATTTCATGGACTTATGCAAGTTTATTGCCAACAAGGCTGGCACATCCCTGTATAGACCAGATTCATCTAATCTTGTAGAACTTGAAGGCAAAAACTCTGAACACTTGAATATACAGCCACTTAAGAAGACCAACTTGGGTCTGGAGAGAGTGTCATTTCTGTCCAAGAGCTTGGCACTGGAATAACAACACCCCAGTTATCTCCAATGAGACCCTTTTATTCCCTAGAGCCACTGTCAGGAAACTCTATTCTTCCCATGATACAATGCAATGATACAACCATGTGCACAACAGTCCAACTTTAGGGCTGCTCCAATCAATGCATATCCAGCTACTATGCCCAATTTTCAAGCATTCTTGCTTATTAGCTTCTGACCTTGCTTTGCACAAGGATACCTGCTTAATAATGAATTTTGTCCTTAAGCACTGTGACTTTATTCTAAATGAAGTTCATTTCTTTTTGTGGGTCCCACTGCAGTACATGTCCACAAATATTGCTAGCCTGTCTTATCTACTTGGTTCCCTAGATGCTCTCTGTTCTGGCAGCCCCTACAAAATATGAAGGCTTTTCTTGCCCATCCCCCTCTACCAAAAGCCCTTCACAAACATAGAGGTTTCCCTTTCAAGCCCCTTGTTTGCTGCCATGAAGCCTTCACTAGCACCTATTCTATTTCTTGAGCACTCAAAATCTCCCATCCCAATACGAAACTCCCCAAATCCCAATTCTATCCCTTTGACACTAGTGAATACATATACCACCAACCTGATACATGGCACTAATCCAACCCTACAAAAGGACAACACCAATTATGCATGCCCCATCTGAGCTACCACTCCTGTTTTGTTCTCCTGACTCATGGCTCATTACCTGTCACTTACATTCACCTTTCCCTATCCAGGGCTCCGGAGTTAGGGCTTTCTGTTTATACTATATGGCTAGTGTCTTGACTTCACTTTCCTGATTCTACATCTACAAAAAATGCCCATTTCTTAGAGACATGCACTCAGTCATCTTCTTTCTTTCCACCATGGGTTTGCCTAATCCCATTGAAAACATTAACATATTAACATATTGTTTACCCAATACTATGTCAATTAATTCCATAATGTTGTATATTGATACTGAGGCCTTGTTGGGGCTTTTAACTGACCGGATCTTTACTCTGTTAGACCTATCTTCAGACCATAGAAGGTCTCCCCAAGAGGCCACTGAACTTATCTGGACAATAAGACGCTGAACTTTATGCTAGGCATGTGTTTGCAAGCAATGAATCTCAACTGAACTTGAACTATGGTTATGCAACAAGGTGGAGGAATCCACCATGGGGGGAGGGGTATGGGAGGGGTGGGGGGAATCCCCAGCGCCTATAAAACTGTACTACATAATACAATGTAAGCAACAATAAATAAAAAACAAACAAACAAACAAAAAAAACACTCCTAGGCTGTGCATAATGATCTGCCAACACCCCCAGAGCTGTTTCTATATTGCATATGATTTTTGCTATAGAAGTCATTGCCTATTCCAAAGTAGGACTGCTTATCAAGTGAAATTTGTTAAAGCCAATTGGCAAATGCTTTAGACTTTGATATTTTCCGTGGCAAGCCCTTGGGATAAAATTACATAACAAAGTTTAATCTTTGACCATCCTTTGCTTAGCTTCAGAGACATTTCAAGATTTGGGGAACTCATGTCATATGTATGATTATGTTAATAAATCATGCCATGACACCAGCTAATCCCAAACACAAAAACCTTCCATTAATACTATAAAGGAAAGTTTTTCATAAATACATCTACTCTACAATGCTATCATTGCATGATTCTACTTCCATTACTAGACAGTTATTAATGTACCATCAACTTATTTCTGGGATCACTGTCCATTAAATGATGCCCTGGATCATAATTACTATATGAGAATATATTAATACTGTACTTAAATATTTTAGAGATACATTCAGCAATTGTGTGGAGGCATCCAGATGAGAAAGAATATCTTGTCCCAAAGTGAAACTGGGCAGAAGGGGATAATTAGAAAGAAGTGTGTAAATGGAAGGTCATCAATGAAGCAGAAGATTGCTCAGATGGCTCGGAGACCAAGAGGGTCCTGTCAATTCCCATAGCTGAGATCTGGGAACAGGTAAGACCCAAAATGGAGGGTAGGATGCAGTAGGTAGTCCCCTAGAATCCACCAAAAAGAAATGGTCATACCCACTCCCTGTGGCTTTACTCTGGGCCGGGTCAGGGTGATGGGGGTCTCTGAGTCCAGACACCATCAATCCTCAGCCAGGTTATGTAGTTCCAGGGACATGTTTCTGGCCTCAGGCCCTCTTCCATGTCAAGGCACAAAAGGCAGCACCATAGTCCAAATTCCAGTGTCTTGCCTGATTGAATTTGGGGCACAGCCCTGGGGGTAGCCTGGGAGACAGACACTTGTGTGTCAGAAGGCACAGGGGTATGCATTTAGGCAGCAGCCTGTGAATTCAGGGCAGCTACCAGGGCCTGGGTTTGGAGGGCCACCTTTTGCTTGCAGCCATGCCTGTTGGGTAGCCTCTGCCTGTTCTTCTCAGGTAGTATACACTTTAAATGGCATTTTAAAAATCCAGATCTTGGATAGGAGTCTGTGGGCCCTCATCTGTCCTTTTCAGTTTTCCTTTGAATGTCTGGAACTGATTGAATGATAAAATGAGTGGCTAGCACTGTGGCTCCTGTTGGTGAATCAGGGTCTAACCGGGTGTAATGAGTTAATGCCTTGGTAAGACGTGTAAGAAAAAAAGACGAGATTCTGGCCTGGCTCCTGTGTAAGTTCTTTGAGTTGTTCAGTTTACAACTTTGTTAGAGGCTGCCTTCACACCTGCCAAGAGGCATTAAACCATATGATCCTTTTCTTCTGGACAGAGTGATCTTCCTGGTAATTCCAATTTTGTGGGGACTGCCTCTGCTCCCACTGGTAGCGAGTTTTCTGCAAGGTGGACCCCATCAGCTTCTGCCCTTGTGGAAGTAAGGATTAGATCTTCCTCATCTGATGTTAGGGTTGAAGACATTGTAATAAAAAGATTGTGCCAGGCAAGGCCATGGGCCTGTGTCAAGTAGGTGAGTTGTTTGATGTAGCAGGAATAATCAGGTAAAAAGGAGCCCATCTGCTTTTCTACATAGGAGGAGTGGTGAAAGGAGAAGGGGACGTGGACACTCAGTTCTCCCTCTGCACCTGCCACCTCTCATAGGAGGCCCAGAGAAGCAGACTGATGTGACCAAGTATGAGTGCTGATGGGAGAAGTGGGGGTGGCAGAAGGAGGAGGGTCCAGTTTAGAACTGGGAGGCATGAACTAGCCAAGCACTGAAGGAGGAGGAGGGGAAAAGGAAGGGAATGGTGGTGGAGCCACTGGAGAGTTCACTGGTTGAGGCGGGGCAAGCATGAATCCCAGGGGCGGGGTGATCAGGCAGTAAAAAGAGAGAGGAAAGGGGGCAAGGAATATTCAGCCATTGCAGAAGCCTCTGGTTCATACAGAGCTGGCCGAGCAGGTGGAGGTGAGGAAGGTGAGGAGGCTGTGCGGAGAGGGTGGTAGAGGGAGGGAGGAGTAATTGAACACAGTGATGGAATGACTGGAGCATTCACTAGCTGAGACACAGATTCCAAAGGCGGAATTGACAATGCAGTAGAGAGAAATAGGGGGTATGGGAGGAGCTGTTGGAATCCTTGAAGAAGTCACTGGCTGGTGCAGAGCAGCCTCTGGATGGGAAGGGGATGAGGGAGCAGAGATAAATCCTCCACACAGAATATAATTCAACTTAAAACAGGCTTTATTTGGAGCATTCCTGGGCCATATTCACTGGCCTGGCACAGACAGCAAACCAGAGAAGTCACACCTGGAGACATGGGCTGTGGTTTTTATCAGGGGGCTGTGAAGGTGGGATTTGGAGGGCAAAGAAATAAGCCTTATACAGCGCCATGGAGTGTTATAGGTTCCTTGGGTCCTTCGGGAATACATATGTGGCTGTTTGACTGAGAAGGGGCTGCATTTCTCAGGTCCAACCTTATCAGCCATGTTTCTCCACCTCTTTCTGGGCTGCCCTTCTCACACCACAGCTGAGCCTTGTACTGGTGGCACACTTGACCATCCCCTATAATCAGTAACCTGCTAGCAGAGCAAACGGTGAGCTATCACTTGGAGCAGCCTTGGCAGAGGCACTAGGAATAAACCATGGGGCACGATTGGCTGCAGGTGAGGTAAGACAGAGGAACACTGCTTAAGGAGGCATGGAGCACGTAACCTGATGCGTTAGTAACGTCCCTGACCCCAGATGTCACAGAAAGGACCAGCAAAACACCAGAGGGGAGAAAAGCAAAAACAGTATAGAAAGATAAATGCTCTCAGGGGTGTTCACATCAGTGGCAGAAACTACTTGGTGATATGGCTGAGTCGCCCCAGGAACTGGGAAACTGAGAGCAGAGCAAACAGCATGTTGCTGTTTGAAGCAGCTTTGGCAGAGGCCCTGGGAATAAAGCTTGTCCCATTTTACAGCCTCACAAGTGGTGGGTGGGACAAAATAGAGAGGGGCACTGCTCCAGCAGGCATGCAACTGTGTGGATCTGCACTAAAGTAACGCCCATGTCCCTAGACACTGCAGAAAACAAGAGAGAGAGAGAGACTGCAAAGATGAAAGCCCAGCTACAACCTGGGAATGCCCAGGACTAAGGGAAATGGCCAGGATGGCACTGTCTCCAGAGACTGAGGCTGAAGCTTCCCCAAGAATGATCAGTACACACACACACACACACACACACACACACACACACACACACCCCTCAGACATCTTCTCAGAACAGGAACAAACAGGAAACTGTTAGCATAGCACAACCTATTCACAAATTTGGAAGCAAAAGGCCTAACATAATATCGAAATCTGCAAGAAGAGAAAGCCCATAGATCTGAAATCCTATGGGAATGGAAAAACAGAAAGCAGCGTAAATGAGGAAAACGCCGTTCCCCTCAAAAATAAACAACCAACCATCTCAATCATAGAGTTACAGGAAGAAGACATTGAGGATCTCCCAAACAAGGAATACCAAAAAAAAAATCATAAAATTTTTCAGAGACAGTGAGAAACAAAGGCAAGACGTTGAGGGATTTAAGGAATATACCACACCAGAGATGCAACCTGTAAAACAGAACCAAATTGGAATAGTCACCAATAGAATGAATGAGACAGAAGGAAGAACATAATTAGAAAACAGCAAAAAAACAGCATCTTATAGTGTGTTTATGGAGGACAGATTTACAAATATAAAGCAGAAAATGAATTGTGATTCTGCCAGTCTTTATATCCTTCATACTTTCAGTAGTGGATATGGCACAAGGTTGGGATACTTAGAATATCGAATTATAAAACAGCAGCACTAACAGAACAGTGAAGACAAACTTAAAAAAAAATAGAGGAGAAAACAAAATAAATGTGTATCGAGCAAAACTAGAACTAAAAAGAAAATTAGTAGAAACAAAGTGGATTATAGAAAGATCATTAAGAATGTAAGAATTATCCACATTAACACCATTACCTTTATTTCGATGTTTTGTATCAAAATGAAGGTTTTTGATATCCTTTGGGTGATTGTTCTTCTCAGATGATGTATTCACACTCATTTTCTATATGGTGCTATTCTTTTGGAAAAGTGATGATTCAGTATATATCAACACAGGTTTTCTGTTTTAAAATTTCCCATCTTCTGTGCTGTGTTTCCAAGGTGTCTGGTGTACAAATAGGTCCATTCTCCATGGAATTGTACACAGACCACAGATTTGGTGAAAACAATACTGGGGATCCAATATGCACAGCATTGCATGGCATCTGTGTGAATTTAGATATAATTTATTAAAAGTTCTTGAAATTTCATCAAGCTGAAGGAATGCCAATAAAGACAAATGACATATTTTAAAGTTTAAGTTTCTACAAATAAATTGACATATATATATACATGTATACATGTATGTATATAGATATATAATATATACACATCTATAATATGTATTTTATTTATATATATTTATATATATATATGATAGACAGATCTTAAAATTCACTTTTTTGGGATTTTTTTGGATTCCTGATTGCACCAAATTTCACCTATATTCAATATTTATATCAATTAGATTTACAGAAATGGGAAATAGATTTGCAGCTACCACAGTCTGGAGGAATAGAAGAATGGTTAATTATTTTCTTTTTTGGGGAGTAAGATTTATTAATTTGAAAAGCAGGGTGATAGGGCTGGACACAAAGAAAGAGATCTTCCATCTGATTCATTTCCAAATGCCTTCATTGCTGGGGCTGGACCAGGCAGAAGCCAAGAACTAAAAACTCCATCCATGTCCTGCACATGAATGGTAGCTGTCCAGTACTTGGTCTATCTTCTGATGTTTCCTGCAGACGTGTTATCGTGGAGCAGGACTGGACTCAAATCAACACACCTAAATGAGATGGCAATGTTGTATGAGGTGACCAACCTCACCGTGCCACAATCCTGGCCCTATGACTACTTTTACATACGTACTTTTAAAGATTTATCTATTTTTATTGCAAAGTCAGATATACAGTGAGGAAGATCTTCCATCTTATGATTCATTCCCCAAGCAGCCTCAACAGCTGGAGCTGAGCTGATTTGAAGCCAGGAGCCAGGAGCTCTTCTGGGTTTCCCACGTGGGTGCGAGAACCTCAGGCATTGGGCGATCCTTGACTGCTTCCCCAGGCCACAAGCAAGTAGCTAGATGGGAAGCTGGGCCGCCGGGATTAGAACTGGCCCCCATATGGGATCTTGGTGCATTTACGCGAGGATTTAGCCATTAGGCCACTGTGCAGGGCCCTATACATATTGAGTATATGGTTTATTTGAAATAGTGAACATGACCTATAGCTGCACAGTGGTGATAGTATTGGCCACACTGAAAATCACTGAATTGTACTTGAAACAGGTAATTTTACTTCATAAAACTGCTGTGTGAGACATAATTGTGACACTTTTCTCCCTTTTCCAGGTTTATCTTAATAAAGAAAAGCAACATCTATTTAGCACCAGGGTTAAAGAAGATGAGTAATATCGGGTCTCCTCTTGTGAAATTGAATGATGGACACGCCATGCCTGTGCTGGGATTGGGCACTTCTGCACCTGCTGAGGTAATCAGAATTATTTTGGAACTGAGGGAGTAGCAAGCAAGATTCCTAATAAAAACATGTCACTATAATATTGGGGAAATTCAGCTGAGCTTTGTTTTCATCTTTTCTAAGAGACAGCTCTGCATTAGATTGATTTTCAGATTTTAATAAAGGTATAAACACCTGAGAATTTTGCCAAAGATGCAGATTTCAAAACTCTGTTCCTAAGGATTTTAATTAATTCTGGGATAAGGTTCTAAATTTCACATTTTTAATAATCTACCAAATCATTTCTATGCTGCCTTGAAATAAGTATAGTTGAAATGGAACCTTATTGAGGGAGGGTGGGTGTGTCAGCTACAAATTTGGAAGTGAGGGAGTCTCTTTTTAAATCTTGTTTGACATTTAATGCAGCCATTTTTTTTTCAGTATTTTAGAAAATTATACATGGATACTATGCTTATCACAGTCCAGAAACCTTATGCTGAACTTTTTGTAAGGAATTGTCTCTGCAACTTAAACATGCATTATTTATTTGAAAGGCAGAAATACACATAGAGGGGGAAGACAGACGGAGGGAGGGTTCTTACATCTGTTAATTCATTCCCCAAATGTCCACCATGGCTGGCTGGTTTGGCGGCACGCTAACTCCAGGAGACCGAAATTCATTTTGGGTCTCCTACATGGGTGGCAGATGTACAAATAATAGGGCCATTTTCTGATGCTTTTCCAGGTTTATTTGCAGAGAGCTGGAACAGAAATAGACAACTGAATATTAACTTGGCAATCATATGGCATACTGACATTGCAGATGATAGCTTAATGTGCTATGCCATGACAGTCGCCCTTCTTTATAATTTTTAATGCACAGATTTTCCTATCCATCACTGTTTACAGATTATAGATAGAAAAACTTTCTGAGAAAAGGAATTATAGCAAGACAGGACTAAAGAATTTTGAGGATTAAGGACTGAAACAAATTCAGAGTTCAGATTGCTAAGACTGTGTCATAGGGCAAGCCAAGTGACATTTGGAAATTCCCCCTTTATTTGAAAGATGAATGTCAAGCATGTTTTACATGAAACACTACAAACTTACAAGGACATTTTTGAGTGATTCATGAAAAAGCAGGTTATACCTAACTTGTGTAACATCGAGGACAAGAGACAAGGAGGTTCAAATATGGCTTATGCCTCTAGCTGTCATTTTAACTCAAATACAATCAGTTAAATCTTATGGGATGCAGTTAAATTATGAGAAGTTGTAAATGAAAAATAACACATCCAACAGACATTTAAAATTATGATATTGCTACGAGAGTTCACCTGCTAGATCAGCAGAACAAATCAGCATCAATCAATCAATCCATCAATCAATAACACAGTTATAAAGGAGAAAGTGTCACCTAACTCCAACTTAGCCATTAAAACCAGCTGTTACTGATAATATTTTGTGGGATCAGCAACAAGCTGGCAGGTCAGTAATGGACTCTATTGACCAATTCCCCTCGGAGATGCCAGACATAGAACGAGGGATCAGACTTCAGTTAAATAAAACCATATGTAATAATCCATCAACTGACATTGTCATGTGTGGGGAAAAGGTAGGATCTTTGTAGTCCTAGGAATAGGACATGAATACTCACTTTCATCACTTATTTGCAACAAGATGCTGGATGTCCCAGCTGTGCAATCAGGAAAAAGAAAAAGTAAGACTCACCCAAACTGAAATGGAAGAATAAAATGGTTATTGTCTGCAGCTGGCATATTATACACAGAGAATATATCAACAATGTCATCAAAAAAATTACTAGGTCTGTATGCAGTCAAGCAAAGTAGAAGAATATAAAGCAGCCACATGCCTATAAGGAATGTCATAATACACAAGTATTGAACCATTCTAAAAAGAAATGTTAAAAATAATCATATTTTTAACTTCTATGAGAAAAATTTAAGTCCTGGCTGCCCCATTTCCAATCTACTTCCATGCTAGTGTATCTGGGAGAATAGTGGAAAATGGCTCAAGTATTTGGGCTCGGGAAAGGCTCCTGGCCTCAGTCAGTTTTAGCAATGTTGATAATGAGTCAGCAGATGGAAGATCTAACTGTCCTAAAAAATTCCAGAGCTAAATATTTAATACATTATATTGACATTAAATTAAAACTATACAGTGGTAGAAAATACAAGTGCTCGTGGAGGTAAACTCTAACAATATGAAAAACTATGTATTGGAAAATTAATAGTTTTTTTCAATAGATAGTTATGGGAAAATTGGAAGTTTAGAAGCAGAAGAATGAAATTTGACACTTCTCATAATTTATAAAAATCAGCATAAAATGGATTAAAGATCTGAATGTGAAATGCAAAGCTTAGAATTTGTTCGAAAAAAAAAAAACCTAGGGGGAACTCTTGAGCACATTGGGATGGACAATAATTTTCCAATCCAGACCCCATGCACATAAGAAGTAAAATCCCTTAAAAGAACGATAGGTTTTGTTAAATGGCTATTATTATTATTATTTAACAAATCCTTATAATTTTTACACTCTTCCAGGTTGCTAAGAAGGAGGTGGAAGAAGCCATCAACATAGCAATTGATGTAGGCTATCGGCATTTTGACTCGGCATACTTTTACCAAAATGAAGAAGAAATTGGGAGGGCCATTGGGAAGAAGATTGCCAGTGGCACTGTGAAGAGAGATGAGATATTCTGCACTTCAAAGGTGTGGTATGCAGTTGCAATGTGTCTGTGGGAATATCTGTAAGCTAGATTGCTCCTTGGAAAATCTCTTTTATTGCCAGATAGTTTTCATTCACTTGAAACTTGCATAATTGGAAGGAGTTAGAAATGTGGTCATAAACACACTCTACTAATCATCTTGTACATGAACTTGAACAGGTCACTTAAATTCTGTGCCTGAGTCTCCCTAAATGGGAGTGCTGCATTATGAACAAACACATAAAGCTTTTTTTTGTCATATTATTTTTTTATTGATTACATTGCATTATGCGACACTGTCTCATAGGCTCTGGGATTCCCCCAACTCCTCCCCATGCCCTCCCTCCACGGTGGATTCCTCCACCTTGTTGCAGCAGTATCCAGTCATGATCCCTTCATTACGAGCATAGAGTCCAGCATCTAATTGTCCAGATAAATTCAATGGTTTCTTGGGGAGACCATCTCTGGTCTGACAGCAGAGCTGGCAGAATATCATCCCGTCCAATGAAAAGTCACACTATAACATCAACATCAATTTACAACATTATGGAATTAATTGACATGGTATTGAGTAACAAATATGTTTAAAAAAATGCAAGTTCTTAACTGCATCCTCTGACTACTTCAACGACATTTCAATTTTGGTTTATACACAGAACTGGCTGCTATACACCTTAAAATGGCTACAGGGTACTATTCAGCTGTCTCGTGACTATTTTCATTTTAGCATTCAGCAGTTTATAGTATTGAAGCTTAATTTTGCTGAACTTGGCAGATTTTGGGGGTAGTCTAAACTGGCTTATAACTCTAACAAGGCATATGTCAACAGCTGAAGTGCAGAATAGTTTTAGGAGGGGTGTGCAGAGAAATCTTCAATACCTTAGTGAGGAGTAACTAATCTTTGTGTCCTACCTAGTAAGGTATATGTGAGTCCATGCTGACCGTTTCCTGTCTGGTTCCAAGCTTTCCTTGTTGTTCTCTGTCTATCTATTCCAATTTGTGTGTGTGTGAAAAAACACATAAAGCTTTAAGAAAACATTTCAATACATTTAAATGCTCAGAAATGTTTGCTGTGTACTACTATTCAGTCATATGTGTACAAATACATATAACCTATACTGAAATCTAGAGCATATGTTAATAAATGCCACATTTCATTTATCCATGTATCTGATGATAGTCATCTTAGCTGAGCTCACGTTTTGGCTGTTGTGAGCAGTGGAGTATGGTAGAGCAGGAATCTCTGACACAGCTAGTTCATGTATTTTGAGTATGTTACTCAAACATATAAAGGAGTGAAATTAGAGGACATCATGTGGAGTGAAAGAAGCTCAATTAAAAAAGACAAGTACCACATTTCTACTTGAATATGTCAGCTAAGGGCAAAAAAAAAAAATACTTGAGTGTATCAGTTCTGCTGCAAGTAATGCTTTGTCAGACTTCATTTTAAATTAGCTGTCAAAGGGACTGGCACAGTAGCCTAGTGGCTAAAGTCTTCACCTTATACACGTCAGAATCCTATATGGATGCCAGTTCTAATCCCAGCAGCCCCACTTCCCACCCAGCTTCCTGTTTGTGGCTTGAGAAAGCAGTCCAGGATGGCCTTGGGACCCTGTAACAGTGGGACACTCGGAAGAGGCTCCAAGCTCCTGGCTTCGGATTGGATCAGTTCAGCTCCAGTTGTTGCAGTTGCTTGGGAAGTGAATCAAGGGCCAGAAAATCTGTCTCTCTTCTCTGTATATCTGACTTTCCAATAAAATGGAAAAAAATCTGAAAAAACAACAACATCAAAAAAGAAAATAGCTGTCAAGCAAACTGAAAGGGATTACACACTACTGTACTTTTCATGATTTTGCTTATGTAATGATTATTTTGAAGTTTCCTTTATGTAGAGCGTGAAGTTATATATCTTTCGTTTTAAGCAATGTGTATGCTATCCATGTCTAGTTTTCTGTTGGACTCTAGTCATGATTTGTTGAACTCTATTGAGTGGAGCCAATAAGTCTTTTGTTACCATGGAAATTTAATTTATTGTCCCAATTAGTAACTATTTTAAGTGCTAGCTGCTATTATCATAACAGAATACAGACATGGTTTGGCTTTTTCCAACTGCTCTAGACAGATTCTAGAAAATAATTGAGTGTATCTTAGCTGTAGTATACAATAATGCTGTTTTCTTGGAAAGTATTATTTTAGAATCAGTTTATCCTAAAATCAAATTTTGATTCTTTACTATTCTATGTGACTGTGAGATTTCTTTTTCAATGTTCATTTTATTTGGAATGGAGCCATACAGAGAGAGAGTGAGAAAGAATAAGGGAGAGATTCATTTCCACTGATTCATCTCCTAAATGTCTGTAACAGCACATGTTGTCCTGGGTCAAAATCAAGATTCAGAATCACAACCCTTATCTCCAGTGTACATGACAGGAACTCAATGCTTGAGCCAACACCTTTTGTCTTCCTTGGATGACTAATAAGGATCTAGAATCAGGAGTGATTGTGGACTAGACTGCAGTCACTAAAATATGGGATGTGAGCCTCTAGAGCAGCAGGTCCTGCCCCCGACCTTGTGAATATAACCCGCTGTTGCCCTCAGCATCCTTGCGTTAGGGTAGAGGGGCAAAGTGGCTGCTGACGCTCAGGAATCCCAGACTCGCCCCACCCCATCCTCAGAGCCTTACACAATGAAATCTAGGGGACCACAACCACCCACCCCCATATGCAGGAGTCAAACAGGGGCCTACACCAACCTAGCCGACCCCCATAAGCAGGAATTTAAGAGGCAGAGTAGCCACACTCTCTCTGTCATTCTAGAGCTTAATTTTTCTTTCATGTGACATGTGTATTTTCTTTAGTGCAAGAATATCCAACCCTGTCCCTCAGAGCTCCAACTTTCCACAGGAAATCTAAATCTTTCATTAATTCAAGACACCTTTTCCAGAGGCAATGTTGAGGAAAAATGGGTAAAGCCATCGTCCTATTTGGGCATCAGAGTTGCATCCAAGCTGTTCCCCTTACGGCCCTATTCCCTGCCAATGGCCTAGGAAAAGCAGAGGATGATGATGCCCCTTGACACTCACATAGGAAACCCAGTGGAAGTTCCTGACTCCTGTTTATCCTTCTCAATGATGATTGCTGTAGATATCTTTCAAGTGGTTCAGAAGATTATTTCTGTCTCCCTCTTTCTCTATAATTCAGACTTCCAAATAAATAAATAAATCTTAAAGAAATGACACTATTTCTCGAATCACAGTCACTTGGTGTTCTTGTTTAGTGGGCCGTTTCTATTCAGACTTTAGATATTGTGATATATTTTATAGTTGAAGTATTATCTGATGATACCAATAATTTTTTCATGTGCTTAAGTTTGAGATTTGGAGTATGACCATATTTTCATTTTCTACTTTTGTTGTCTCAATTTAGTATGAAAGTATGCTGTCATGAGAAAGAACTCATGAGAGTCATTAACTGAAATTTGTTATTCCTCATCTATTTTAGCATACTGGAATATGATGTTTATTTTTTAATTTTATAAACTTTTGAAAAAATAATTTCATTTAACCTCTATTTCGCTCTTTGCAGCTATGGTCCACATTTCACCGTCCAGAATTGGTGCAAAAAGCCCTGGAAGCATCATTAAAGAAACTTCAGATGAGCTATGTGGATCTTTATCTTATTCATAGCCCAATGTCTTTTAAGGTTTATAAGTTATAGTATAACTTTATAAGTGATTCTCATAAAAATTTGGTAAAAATCAGAACCGCCACATGTAATGCCTTTAAGTTCTCTCCCTCTCTTTCTCTCTCCTTCTCTTCTTTATGAAGCTGCTCATAACTTAATTCACTATTTCAGGGCATGAATTCACTGGCTTCATTGCCTTTTGGGGGAATCTTCTGGACGTACTGCCTGTATGTTCCAGTTCCCATGTCCCTGTATTTCATCCCCATGTTCATTGACACTGGGAAATGTCCCACTATGGAGTTTATTTGAAGGTCAGGCAATATTTTTAAAGATTTATTTAATTTATTTGAAAGACAAATATATATATAGACAACATAGATATAGATGTCAAAGATAGATATAGATAGAAATTTCCAGATGGCTCATTCCCCAAATGGCTGCAAAAGGCAGGTCTGGGACAAGATGAAGCCAAGAGCCATGAACTCTGTGTCTCCCAAGTGGCTGGTCAATAGTTCACCCTTCTCTGTCACAGCCTTAGTGTCAAGCCAAACAATGTAATCAAGAAGAGATTATGACATATTTCTGGAAAGGTTTGGAAAAAGATCTTTTGCAAGGGTTCAGGACCAAAGATCCTGAAAAATATGATGTCAATTGAGGCTGTATGGGATAAGGCCAGGGATATCACAGGTTGGTACTTTTAAAGTAGAATTTATTAATATTTCAGCACTTCACATCACTTCTATGGTGTGGGCCTTCTCTGTACTTCCTTTGCCTCTGAATTAACTTTTCTAATCTTCACAAGAATAAGAACAGTTTGTTCTGTTGATCTCAAAGTCTATGATCAACAGGTTATGTAAGAGTTCCTTCCTTCTTGTGTTTCAGCCTGGGGATGAACTTTTACCAATGGATGCACAAGGGAAACTAATTTATGACACAGTGGATCTCTGTAGCACATGGGAGGTGAGTGTGGTTCCAGCCTGGATGTGTGTTTGTATCTGGGAGAAGGAGTTCCCTGTGAGAATCTGGGTGAGTGAATCGCCCACAACCTCTATTTTTATATTTATTTCTTTTAATCATTCAACCAAATTGAGTATGTAAATACATCAACCACTAATGTAAAGATTCAGGAATTGCTGTAGAAAAGAACAGAATTCTCTGATCCCTCAGAGTGACAGATGTTATAATAGGGTGATAGAAAGGTAGTGCCAGGGTGGGTTTGGGACATAGAGGTCATTAAAATAGGGAAAGGGAAAATTAGACTATTCAAAAAGGTGACAAATTTCCATGGAAATAGTGATATAGGCAGAAAGAAAGGCACAGTATAGACACTGCCCTGTTTGAGAAACAAAGAAAGTGTATATGACAGGACCCAGTGCATAAAGTGACTGATCCTAGGAAATGAAGTCAGTGCTTTGGTAGAGGCTGTTTATGTATTCTGTTTATGTACACGTGAACCCATTTCCTCTTTTCCTGGCAATTGTTTTGCTCACATTTGTGTTGGCATTCACTTAAGATCATGATGACCTTTTCTTTATTATTTTTTCTGATCTCTTGCATTTTTTTTTGTTTATTTCATCTTAATGAGCATGTTTCCTCTATTACTATTTATCTTTCTTTTTCTCAGTCATTTAATAGCATTTTCATCTTTAAAATATTCTCCTGTTGTTTCATAGTCTTGCTTACCCATAGCCCTACTTTGACATGTTCACATTTATTACTTTTCTGTAGTTTACGCTTTACAGATTATTATTTACAACTCTGATTACCAGGCCATGGAAAAGTGCAAGGATGCAGGATTGGCCAAATCCATTGGGGTGTCCAACTTTAACTGCAGGCAGCTGGAGATGATCTTGAACAAGCCAGGGCTGAAGTATAAACCCGTCTGTAACCAGGTAAACCCATTAGCACCTTTTACATATATTCTGCTTATTTCTCTTTCTTCCCTTTGACAAAACTACCAGTGAACTGCTTCTGTCATGCATTTGGTTTTGAACAATAGGAACTTCAAAAGAAAGCAAGCTTTGAATTGCTGAAAATGACACCCAATGTCATATGCACCTTTGTAAAATTCATCTACATTTTAAGTTGAGCATAATTTATTAGGGATTATTGTCGTTGGTCCAGCAAATTAGAGGGAGCAAATGATTTACACCCACTTGTCATCAACTTAAGAGTCGGTAAGTTTGGAATACTGATGTGTAAAAGAAAATGAATGGTTCATATTTAAGTCTGACAACTCATAAACGTGTTGTGCTGTGAGATAGTTGTCCTTTCTCTGAATATATTTAAACTGTTGCATCTTTAACAGATTCTACTCTAAAGACTGAAAACAGTGATGGTTGGATAACAATGTAGATGCACATAATGAAATTGAACTGCTACATAATATTGCTCAAATGATAGCATTAGGCTATGCGTAGTTTACCATAATAAAATATTTAAAGGCAGACAATTTTTAAAGGCTACCTTCTAACATAAGCCCACAGGAACTTCTATACCATGAATTGTTGTAAGAATCACATAAATGTAGGAAGGATTGATAGCACTTCTTTGCTGTGAGGCTTCAGATTTCTCCCACAGGATCATAAATTTGTTTAAGTCTCACATGTGTAAATGAAGACCATCACTGATCAATCTGTTAAATACTAGTAAACAGTATTCTTTTCCTCTTTTGGATGAAAAATAGTAGTAGAGGACCTAAAATGTAGTCACTCAGTGGCAAGGTCAGGGACTTGGTACCCCTGCCATCTGGAGTAAGAAGCAGAAAGGAAATGGGCCTGTAGGATTAGTCCATGAACACAGAAGTGAGAAAAATTAGGGTGTGATTATATGGCACTAACTACCTTTCACAGTACAGAAATTATTCTCACTAGTAACATGTGAATATAGTAACAAAAACATTGTTCTAGTTGCTAAAAAGAAGCATTTCTGAATCTCTTTTTACATGAGACAAGACTTAAGCAAAGAGAAGAGCTTAGCTGTTGTCAATTAACTATGTGGGGGGCAGGGGTGGCATAACAGGCTGGCATCGGCACTGGATCCCATTTTGGACTGGTTCATGTCCAGGCTGGTCTACTTCCCTCTCTGGCCAGCTCCTTGGTTATAGCCTTGAAAAGCAGTAAAGGATGGCCCAAATACTGAAGTCCCTACACCCATATCACAGAATTGGAAGAAGCTCCTGACTTCAACCTTTGAATCAGGCCTTCTCATCCTTGTAGCTCTTTGGGGAGCTTTCATCCAAAGATGAAAGATAACTCTGTATATAGCTATGCATCTCTATCTTTCTGTGTCTGTTACTCTCTCTGTAATGATGACTTTCCAAGTAAAATAAATGTTTAAATTTTAAAAAAATGGACTCATTGCCCAACATGTAGCCTTAGCAAGCCAGGCTAGCCCTTCACCTGTAGTTCCATCATTCCATATAAGTGCCCATTCATGTCTTGGCTGCTCCATTTGTGATTCAGCTCACTGCTTATTGCCTGGGAAAGCAGAATGGGATGGCTCAAATTCTTGGGCCCCAGTGTCCATGTGAGATACCCAGAAGAAGCTCCTGCTTTCTGGATTCAGACTGGCCCAATTCTGGCCATTGCAACCATTTGGAGAGTGAACAGTATATGAAAGACTGCTCCCTTTGTCTCTTCTTTGTAAAATTGCCTTTCCAATAAAAAATATTTTATATATGCATAAATTTATAGCTTTGCAGGAATGTTAAGGATTGTGTTATACACCACAATATGATTTAATAAAGAAGAAAAGACAGCATTTTATTTTTTGGAGCAAAGAATGATCTAATGAAAACTATTACTCAAATCTGAAGGACTCTTTGAAATCTGAAGGATTACTTCAAAGCTGAAGGACCATTTGAATATTTAATTTTTTTTCCAGTTGGGATATTTGAAAGCTACTTTTTTGACAAAAAAAAGAAAAATTAAAATCAAAACCATGGAAGAGAAATTCAAGAGTATTTTCAGAAATGATGAATATTGATGAATATATGTTATAACTGAATTGTAGAGATTGTTGTAAAATATGCAGATGGTTAACATAATAAACTATATATATTATAAATTGAGCAATTTTAATAGCAAATATTACATCACTAAGTTCAAATATAAGGGGCAATGGTCTTACAGGACCAAGAAAAAAATAATTGCTGCAGTACATATATAAGATCTAGATAGATATTGATAAATCATATGTGTGTATGTGTGTGTGTGTATTCCCTGTAGCGTATTACATATCTATCTATCTATCTATCTATCTATCTATCTATCTATCTATCTAATATGCTACCAAGGACAAATATATTACCATGATTTTTCAGTCTAAAACAGATTATTGACTTTGTAGCATAAATGGATTCTCCAAGAACATTGAGCAAATTATTCAGCCAATATTGCTATGTTATCACTGGGCTATAATCTAGTTGAATGATTTGGTCAATTCTGTTGTTCTTAAGTATATAACATACAGGACTCCTGGTAAATTTGACAACAGTATACCTGTAATCTAACATATCTGCTTGACAATCTGTAGGTAGAATGTCACCCTTATCACAACCAGAGAAAACTGCTGGAGTTCTGCAAGTCCAAGGACGTTGTTCTGGTTGCCTATGCTGCATTAGGGTCCAACACAAAAAAGCAATGGTAATGACCTTTACAAATTTATTTTAATTATAGGTACTGTGTTTTCTGAAGTTGTGGCATCTATTTAGAAGAAATTACAGACAGAATGTACAATCTTTATGGACCTTTGTGGGCCTTCACTAATCCCAGATTGGCCTAAGAATACAATAGAATATTTAAAAAAATTAAAGTGAAATAACAAGTTCTTATTCTATATTTATATAAAATGACAATAGTTATTGGGTCTTTGGACAACAATTTTGTCTTCCTTATTGACTCGGTTTTCTTAATAAATTTCTCTAGCATTTCCTTAAAAATGTAAAAGTACCTCAATTTCTCCTTCTGTCTTTCCTCCCTTTGTCTTTATTTTCTTTATTTGGATGAGCTAAAAGAATCAAAACAAAACAAATAGTGAGACTGTCAGATTGTGATAATGAGGATTCATGTTTCTAGCCTGAATGAGCAGCCTCCAGGTAGCACACAGATTCAGCTTCAGACATGTGACTGCTCTGCCTCTGCATTCAGGGTGAAGAAAGGCAACCCGATTCTCCTGGAGGATCCTGTACTAAATGCCATTGCTGAGAAATACAGGCGCACTCCAGCCCAGATAGCTCTACGCTACCAACTGCAGCGAGGCATAGTGGTCCTGGCCAAAAGCTTCAACAGGAAAAGAATACAAGAGAACTTCCAGGTACAGAGTATGGGGTTGAAGAGCAGGAGACTCACAGAAGACATTATCCTATGCCTTCGCAGTAGGTACTTACAGGCACATGTTCATGATTTCAAGGTATATTTGAGAAAAGTGTTTTTCCTTTTATATTCTACATATAACAGCACTGTGTCTGTTTAATCCACCAACTGCTGCAAGTAAGGGTTGGTATAATGGAAAATATCATTGTACAGAGGGCATCAGGATTGGGCCCCAGTTCTAGTTTTTCCTCTTTCCTATGGTTCTGTGTTTATTACTCTTTGATTTCTACACCCATGTTTTAGCTCCCCCCCCCTTTTTTTTGGGTTTTCGGCAATGGCAGAATGAGACTGGGTTATTTATAAGGAAATAAATTTGTATAGCCCATAGTTCTGAAGGCTAGAAATCTAAAACTGAATGGGTGCATCATGCTGCGTCATAACACAGAGGGAAGTGGCCAGGAAAAACAGACAGGTGCAGGCAAAAGAGGCAGCCTTGGTGTGTCAGAAACCCACCTTTACTGTAACTGATCCGGTCTTCCGAAAGCAGCAAGAAGTCTTAATGAAGGTAGCTCCCTTGTTATCCAAATTCCTTTAGAGGCATACATACTTCTCAATACCTTGACACTGGGCATCAAGTTTCAACCTGAGTTTTGAAGGGAAATCAAATGAATTACATAAGATGATATTTAGGTTCAAAAGTCTCTGTGATTCCTTTGCTATAACCACAGCCACTCAAAAATTCTCCAAGAAAAGATTAGAGATGCCAGTCTTTGCTCTCTGAATGAGGAAAAAAACACCCACAAATTTCATTACTGAATGAATCACAAGCGCATGATAATTGTCTTATAAGACCTCCTAACTGTGTGTGCTTCTCTGAAAAGTAGGAGAGCATTAACTGCCTCAGGAAAATTGAACTGGTCTTCTCCTATTCCCACTAGATTTTTGACTTCCAGCTGACACCAGAGGACATGAAAACTATTGATGACCTGAACAGAAATATTCAGTATTTTGATGGGTAAGTAGTTTGCTCCATTACAAACACCTGAAATCGGTTAGTTGAGGAATTCAGTTTATTTCAACGCAAACAGTAGATTCTGTAGCTTGGGGAAGTGGTTTGCAAACATATGTCATCAGAGCTTAGATAATTGGTGTATTTCAAGGCTCAGCATCGAATTCTTTTCCTCCTACTCATCATGGACCACATCCCACATTGGAGGGTGTGGTTTGGGCCAACACTCCTGCACTTCCAACCCAGCTTCTCACTGACACACTGTCTGGGAGACAGTAAATGGTGGTGCAAGTACTTATTTGTGTCCCTCTAACCTAACTTGGAGATCTAGATTTCAGTTTCTGCTTTTGTTTTGACTGTAGTCAGCTATTGCAAGCATTTGAGGAATGAGATAGTGGTTGGAGAATCTTTCTCTGTATCTGTCTCTGTTTCCCTGTCTTTCCCCCCCCCAAAAAAAATTAATAAAAATTAAATACTGAGTACTTTATTGATTTATATTGTTTATTTTCTATTCACCACATTAGAATGTCAGATTTTGAGAGCATAGTATTTGTTGTAAAACTGTTTTCCCTTGGAATTTACAAAATATCGATGGCATGAACAAATGATAAAGATATAAATTTAAATCAGAGTCACAGACAGTAATCCCCAACAGGGAATATTGTTAATGTTAATCAATAATAATTGTTCTTTGGCTTCAGAATTTTATGCTCCAAAGCAACCACTGCGTTTAAGGAAAAGTTAAGCTTTTTTGCGAACATAGTGGTTTCCCATTGAGGTGATCTTATAATTGCCACGTGCATTTCTAGATGTTGTCTATAATTGCTTCTTAATAAAAAAAAGTCACATAAATTATTTTTTAATGCATAAAGGAAATTATACCTTGATCATCTTAATTAACTTTTTCACAATATCTTGATGTATCTATTAACTTCAAATAATAAAAGACCTGGACATTGTTTTAAAGGAGAAAAAATTTATTTCCATTTTTCTTCTATCCCTCCTTGCATTCAAAATACTAATATATACAATTCCTCTCTTCTATCAGTAATGTATACCTAAATAAATTAAATGTAGAAGTCTATTTATTTGTATATCATTATATATATTAGTATATTTTATTTTCCAAATGTATATATGATTGTGATTCATTAGTGGATGATTGTGCTAAGACGAGTTTGGTTTGTACCCATTTCTAAAAGAAAAAAAAAATCTTAATTTTCATGCTTGTGTCAATTTAACAGGAACTTCCCTCAACCAAAACAGCAATTGGTTAACCAAAACTGACCCTTTGTCTTTTAGGTCTACTTCTGAAGATTCTCCAGATTTGGATGACTGATGACTACAAACACCATATTTGCACCAAGATTCTTGGATTCTGACTAAAGAATAGAGAGGTTTTCAGGACCCAGAGCTTTCTGATTGACTGCATGCTGCACAGAATGCTCAATCACGAGTTCACTCAGATCTCTGAATCAAGAAAGAAAAGTCTCATAACTCAATCTTTTTCTTTTCCCTCTGAAGAAGATAAAGACACATTCAAAGCAACCCAAGCCATTGCAGCATTGGTATTTGCCCTTTTCCCATTTCAATGAGAATGAAAAGTGGCATGTGAACAAATTAGAAAATCTAAATGCACAAGTTCATAGGAACACACAAGTTACCAATAAGTCATAAAAAAAAGAAAGAAAGCCTGAATAGACCTGAGGAGACAGAGTGAGTAACCAACACCAACTCCCAGAGAAAACTCCAGACTGCTGGTGACTTCTAGGAAACATTAAAGTCTTCAGAAAATATGAATGAGGGTGAATGCTTTCTTACTATTTCTACAGGGCCAGCATTGCCTTGTTATTAGAGCTGATTACATGACAAGAAAATAATACCACAGACCAAAGTCTTTTATAAGAATTAATGCAAAATATTAGCAAACATATAAAGCATATGTTGCGTAAAATCTTTTAGTATACTGTTGGAAGAATTTACTAGTGTAGTGTATAAAATAATACCATGCCAAGTAAGAATTATTTCCAAAATATAACAAATAAAAGTCAAACACACCACATTACCTGAATGATGGGTGAAAAACACGTATAATCATCTCCGTTGATGTATAAAAAGCCTTTGGTGAAATCCATCCTTCTGTAATGAATCCTCAGTGAATTTGGAAAATAGGGAAAATATCTGAATATAATAAAGACTGCATCTGAAAGACTTAACAGCTGGAATAATAGAAATCTTCCTCTAATTAAAAAAAAAAAAGATCTGGATTCCTGCTGGAGACCAGCTCTTGCTGACTTCAGAGCTTGCAAAGAATGCCTGGATTGGCTAGAATAGGGAGACAAGAAAGACATGGACCACTATGGCATGATGCTTATCACGAACAACTCAGGAAAGTAGACTTCTTATACAGAAATCATCACAATCTTTTGCACAACGTCCAATTGTTTTATTTTTACTTCATTATTAAAGAATGATTGCAAACCAATTCCAAAAATCATTGTTATTATTTTACTTCAAAGAAAACATTCTCAGCAAGCCATTACTCATTCAAACCTGCACGTGCCCAGCTGAAGCCAGCAACTCCACTATTGGCAGCACATGTGCTTACGTCGTGACAGTGATTTATGTACATCCAAAATCAATTTTAACTAAACTTAAACTAATATTACTTTAAAAATCAAGAATACAAAATTAAAAAGAAAGTTTAAAGGAAAAAAGCATATTTAATAAATAAATCTTATATTCAATCATATATTAATTACCATCACCTTCACCTAGTACTGATTCAATTGTTTTTTTGTTTTTGTTTTTGGTAATGGGTGGTGAGAAGGATAAGGACAGCTCAGCCTTACTATGAATGGAGGGCCTTCACAAGAAACTTCTTTTAATCTTTTTAAACTATTTTCTTTCCCTAAATATAATTGCCAATATAAGCTAAAATTTCCAAGCCATTTTTCTCTAGAGGCTCACAACATTTGTCTCCCTTCAGAAGGTGTCCCATATACTTTAGCGCTATGTGATGGGAAACCAAAATGGCTATGCCAATTCATGTGACACAGCAGGTCAAGGCTATGTGGTAAATACATTCTTTGTACCTCTGTAATTGCTATCTGTTCTAAGATGTTGTCAAGCCATTTAGTAACGAGAATAGTACACATCTGAGGAACTTGTGATTCTCCCCATGGTAGCAGTTCTGAATTCATCAGTTCATTTGGGGGGATCCTCAGGGAAAACTGATCTGAAGTGATATCAGATGTCACTCTTGTGTACTTTCAGTTGGGGTCCAGCTCTGCCCATCACCCACATATGCCTATGTACATATTGGTAGTTGCAATTGCTGGATCAGTTTTGTCCCCCGGCCCATCTCTTACATAAATAAATTAATGTTACAGCCCTGCCCACTAAAGCCCACCACACTCAGCCATCACATATATCAGTAGGAGCTGCAGCCTGGTTGGATTGACCCCCAATAACCTGCACTAGACCTGCCCCTAGCCCTGGTTCCTCTGCTTGCCAGTATGTGCAGCAGACTGGTTTAGTTTGTCCCAAATCCCATTCAGCTTTCATACTTGTCAACAGGCATTGAAACCTACCTCACCCTAACTAACCCCAATATCCAGCCCACACTCAATCCTGCAGGTGCCAATGCTGTCCGGTCAGGTCCATGCTCAGCAGTGGGACTTGCAATCCATAAAAGATGTGCTCACAGTTTCCATACTGGGCCCACATCCAATTCCAGTTCTTACACTTTCTAGGTGATTCTGCCTGCAGTCCCAGCACTTGCCAGTGAATGCTGCGCAAAGCCCAATGAGCTTGTGCTTACTCTGGATTATGCAGACCACACGCAGATCATCAGGCATTGTAGCCCTGTCTTTCCTGAACAATTCCAGTTTCACACTCACCAGCAGGAGCAGTAGCCCAATAGAGGATCCTCCTGTAGCCCTCTTCCAGGTTTACCACCCTCCTCCCTTCCAGTCTCACTTGTGTTGATGGGTGCTGTGGTCCAGTCTGGTATGGCCCACCTCAACTTGGCATTTGCTGGTGGTTGCTATAGATTGGGTTACCTGGCATACCCAGCGTCTAGCTCATGCTGGTGGGTACTGCAGCCAGCCCCAAGTCCCAGCTCTAATATGAACTGGCTGGTGTTACAGCCCAAGCAGACCTGTCCTGCACCCCGTCCTGGCTCTCAAAACTGCAGCAGGTATTATGAACGAGTCCAGCCTGCCCTGCCCCTAGACTTGACTCACACGTAAGACAGTGGATACCATAACCTTGCCTTTTCTGAACTGTTCTCAGCCTCAATTTTTTGCACTCACCTGAATGGATTGTGTCCTGACAAAGGCATCCTCTGAGCATTCATATCAGGTCTCTTTCCAGTTGCAGATCTTGAGCACACCAGTGGGATCATGGCCCAGACTGTCTTAGTCTATCTCCTGTACTGGTAGCAACAGGGTCCTTGCCCAACTGGCCCCGACCCATTCCAATTCTTACTGTTGGGTGCTACAGCCCAGCCACACCTGGTCCATACCCAGACATAGCTCTCAAGTGGTTCAGTGGGGACAGAGACCTAGCTCAGCCCATTCTATGCCCACACTGGCTCTCACGAGCATCAGTGGGTGCTAGAGTCTAGGCTAGACGTGGAACACCGCAGACCCAGTCCAGATCCATGCTGAGACACTCTAGCCATGTCCAGCACAGATCACAGCTTCCATTCTGACTCATGCTCAAAGTGGGGGCCAACACCCAGCAAGAGCTTCCCCTTAGCTTCCCAACTCGGCCTGTCTTCTGCCACAGATCTTGCATATGCCAATGTGCCGTGACCCAGCTCAGCATGCCCATCCCCCATCTTGGCCTTTGACATTGGATGGTGAAGCTTGACCTGTCCTAGCCCCTCCCTAATCCCAGTTCTCATTGATGAGAGCTACAGCATAGCCCTGCCCAGTCTGCTTCTATCCCCGGCTCATGAATCCTGGAAGGTGTGATAGCTTAGCCTGGCATGACCTATACTGCAGCCTGGCTCCTGCACATGCCAGTGTGCTAACTTCGGCCAAACCCTGCCAAGTCTGCCCCTCTCCAGAACCAACCAACGGACTTGCTCATAACAGGTGGAGCTACCTTGCCAGGCCTGACTAACTCCCAGGCCTGAATCACACACTCAATCGCAGAAGCTACGGCCCACCATGTGAATTTTTCAATTCCCCCCATGAGGCCCATTCCCAGACCCAGACCTCACATATGACTGTAGATGCTAGTCCCTTACCCAGCAGAATCTGCTCCCTCCATCCTGGCCTTTGTATGAGCTGGTGGATGCTGTGGCCTAGCTTGTCCCACACCTACTTTTTAAAAATTTATTTATTTATTAGATTTTTTTTGGAGGGAGAAGTGGGGGAGTCATATATACAGAGAGAAGGAGATATCGAGAGAAAAATCTTCGGTCTGCTGCTCACTTTCCCAAGTGACCGCAATGGCCAGAGCTGAGAAGACCCAAAGCCAGGAGCCAGGAGCTTCTTCTGGGCATCCCACATGGGTGCAGGGTCCCAAGGCTTTCGACGGCCCCAAGCAGAAAGTTAGATGAAAAGTGGAGCAGCCAGGACAGCAGCCAGGAAGAGGAGCAGCCAGAATAGACTCCTGGCATCTGCAAGGTGAGGACTTTAGCCACTAGGCTACTGCACTGGACCCCCCAAATCCTGTGCTTCTGTGTGTCTGTGGGTGCTGCAGCCCTGACTAGTTTTGCCTGTTCACAACCCCAGGACCCATGAGTGTCAGAGGGTTCCATGGTCATGCCTCATTCAGCCTACCACTACATCCAGCTGTTAAGCAAACCAGCAGAAATTGCAGTTCTACAGGGATGGACCCATGTATCCGCCACAGAATCTACCCGCAGATCTGGTTATCTTGCATATGTATTGGTTAGTGTCGTGGTCCATTCTGATGTTACCCATTCCCTGTTCCCTGTTATTTCACTAGCCCTGCCAGGTAAGCTCCTAGCCCTAGCTTTAGCGTGCACTGCTGAGTGGTGGTCATCTTTGATCCATGCTGACTAGCTCAGTTCATGTCTATCACAATGGCTGGTGCATCTGTCTGACCCATAAACGTCCTGCAGCTTCCTCCTTCTGCAAACTACTCAAGCTCAGCCCCCTTGTTTACCTGCAATATAGTGGCCTTCTCTCTCTCTCTCTCTCTCTCTCTCTCTCTCACACACACACACACACACACACACACATATGCATGAGAGTTCAAACAATTTGTGGAAAATGCATTGCATAAAAAAACTTTTCATGGCTTAAGAAAAAATTTCTACCTGACTAGGAATACATACTTATGTATATATGCAAACATACTTGTAACCACTAATCAAATCTGCACCAAATTATTATACATCATTTTGAAATATGTGAAAACTTAGCAGTGCATTCCCTTAGAACAATGATTTATAAGTTCATTAAAATTTTTTGGATAGGCCCCAGTGCGATGGCCTAGCGGCTAAAGTCCTTGCCTTGAAAGTGCCAGGATCCCATGTGGCTGCTGGTTCTAATCTCAGCAGC